ATTCTCCCGGTTTGCTATTTCTCCTCCAGAGGCTCATAACTCATCTCTGTCAGCTCTGGTACTAGTCATATCATTCTTTTAAATTTATCGAATGATGCAGTGCTAATATATGTTTCTTTAATTTCCTGGTTATTTAATATATTTATTACAAAAACTGCAAAATAGGGATAAATTTAAAAATTTTCGTAATGAAAAATTATAAATTCAGTGGTATTTGTTCATTACATCTTAGAACAAGTGAATATCAGGTAAATGATCAGTTGTACTCAAATTTATTTTTAAGCTTGTGATTATTTTTAATGGAAATCTTGTAAAAGACTTGTTAGTCTTAACATTTTGAGGTCTTTATTTCTTCCTTTGCAAAAAATACAACAGTTGCAGGAAACTTTCCATTAGATCCTCAGTTCTAAAGGGATTTTTTTCAGAAAAGTAGTGCCCTTGTACAGTATTATATTTACAGTTAAATTATATATTGAGTACAGTATGTTAAATTCAGATTATCGCAATATCATGCATGTCTTAATTCTAACTGTTATGCAACAGTTTTCTGTATCATGATCTTAAGCAATATTTTGTTGTATAAAATAGTTTGACATTACATTATTTTCTGTGGGGGAGCCCTTATGACAATAGCCCTGGAGCTATTGAGCTAATGTGTGATATAGTATTAGACTGGGACATTAGCTATGGAGTTGGACCTACCAGGGACCACGAGCCAGAACCTGGCACTATCAGAAAGATTTCTGGGATCAATAGCTCCTGGAAACCCCCCCCTCCCCCCTGTGGTTGTGGTTTTACCTTGTCTGCCATGAACTGGGGTTAGGTACCCAGAAAGGTAGCCATAACAAAATAAAGCTCATATGGTAAGAACTAACAACTACAAACAGAACAGAGAGGTAGAACTCCCTCCAATCCCAAGGAAACAAGCAAACATCACACTCCATTGCTGCGCTGCTTGTCTGCACAGCCCTCCCCTCCCTGCGCCAGCTACTCAGTCCTCCAGTTTGTTAGTTAATGTGAACCGGGGCAGATGCTTCTCTGACTTCAAATTCCTTTTCGGTGTTTTGCCTTCGTGGTGACCTCTGCTGTGTTGCTTTGTGTGTGGTGGCCAGGTGTTTCTCATCAGTGCTGGGACTGCATGAGCTTTGGGGCTTCCTTCCTTAAGTGCCCTGTTTGTACTGCCCTTGCGTGTTAGGGTTCTCTCCCCTGGGGCGTTCGGGACACCATTTCCATGGAGGGTCATGCTGCTCTGCATTTTCCTCACCCTTGGGCCAGCTGGGGTTTTTGTGGTCCTTGTTTGGCCTTGGGTAGGAAGTGGTATTATGCTGGTTGAGGCGTCAAGGTGTTGTGCAGCCTGCCTACCTGCGCGACAGCTGGTTCCTGTTTCCTCTGGGGACGCTGTACTTTTGTGGGGGCTTTCTTTTGTTTTTGTTTTTCTTTCCTGGTGGGGGTCTGCCTGGTGTGGCTATAGTTCCACTTTATATAATTTGGTGGTCCTCTGCTAGGCCCCCATGATTGTACATGTTGCAGGGGTTTCAGAGTTGTACTCTTCCCCTTGTTAGCTTTGGGTTAACCGATTAGCAATACCTTGACTGGGCTTCCTGTAGCACTCTAACCATGGGCCCTGGAAAACCCTGCCAGGGACTCGGTGGACCAGTGGATGCCTCTTCCGGGTCTCAGCCCACCTTGTGCGGGTTTGAAGGTTGCTGTGTGCCTTTGTCTCAGGGTGACAGCCACCTCTTTTGCCTCCGTCATGCTGCCTGTTGAGTCAACGACACCTTTGACCCGGAGTCTTGCGAGTCATGTTCTCTACTTGTTCTCCAATATTATTCTGATAATATTACTGTTAGAGTACAGGCAGCATCCACGTTGCATGCTAGGTTACTTTCCCACTCACGGCTGGGAAATGCCCTTTTGGTTATAGCTTTGGTTATAGGGACCCAGACCTGGGGGCGTTAATTGCTTCAACTTTGGATCAATCCACGCTCCCTAGTCCTTTCCCTGTTGTTCATCCTGCACCTCCCTCCCCTGCTTCCAGCTCCCAAACGTCTGAGGGTTTCGAAGTCAGAGCAGAGTTTAGTTGGTAATGAGACTCGGGCAGCTTCAGGGGCTGCCTTATTCAGGTTGGAGACGGAGGCATTCGAGCCTGTTCCTCCTACCAAGGCTTCTGGGCCCCACCAGCAGGCCCCCTTCTTGTCAGCCTTTCCCCTGGACTCTGCCTTTTCTTCAGGGGTGGAGAGTATGGAGGACTGCTCTGCCCCAAGTCCCAACTTGGAGGGGTTCCCGGGCTGGGGAGGAGTCGACCGAGGGGAGCCTTGGGCCCCCTTTAACCCCACTTAGGTGCTAATGTCCTCTGTGCAGGTCTTGATGTTGCAGGGAAAGGGGTTTTCCTACCCCAGAGGAAACAGAGCGTTGACAGAGCGGTCATCAGAGCCAGTCAGCGTCACCCGAGCTGACAGGTGGGAGTTGCCACAAAGATATTATTACCTAATTATTTCAATGTCTCCGATTGATTTTTTCTTAGTTTTTTTGCAGTAATATTATTCAATAGTGTGTATTGTGATATATTTATATAATAAAAGGGGTGAATCATCGCTATACTTAAAAGTAAGTGCATATTAGTGATTCAATTATTATGTTCATAAAACAATAAACAAATAGCTTTGCTGTTATTACACTCTATACAAAGTTTATATATAAGTATCTGCATGCTTTGTTCACCATAATGAACCACTAAGTTGGTATTGTGAGTCGAAAAGCAATCAGGAGTGACCGCCACACACAGCCAGCCACTTGTTGCAACTCCCTCAACAACACCTCACTTGCCCACTTTCTCCTCCTACCATCCTGTTTTTTATGTTATTCACTATATACTGACGTTATATATAAGTATCTACATGTTTTGTTCAACACAGCTGTACAACTAAGCTGATATAGTTAGTTCAGGTACTAAGAGACGTCACTACACAGTCAGCTGGCGGCTGCCTCCCTCACACGTTCAAGGCCACTCGTACTAAATTTCTCCCCCAACAATACTGTTTGCAGTGTTATTATACTATATACACAAATTATATATAAGTATATACATGTTGTATGCACCATAACTATACACCTAAGCTTGTAGGGTGCCCAAAGAACATAGTGGCCACCCTCTACACAGCTAGACAAGTAATGCAGACGATGCTACCTCCGTTACCCAAATAGCTCAAAAATAGAAAAAAATAAACCCCCAAAACACAAAATATAGGAATAATTATAATAATGATAATGGTTTAGGGGAATATATTTAGCGTATACTTTATATAAGTAAAACAGCTCTAATCAGGTCCCTAATCATCAAAACAACTTAAAGAAACAAGGAAAATCGAGTTTGAAATCTGAAAAAATCAGCCCAAAAAAATTCAAAGTCCGAAGTTCTGAGAGTTGTAACTGATTTATTTGTTGACCAATTTAATTCTGGCATCACATAGTTAGGAACGAGTATGCATTCTCCAGGATGTAAAGATTAAAACTAATTCAAATAATAAACAAAGGAGGAAAAAACTAAAAACTTAAAAAAAAATCTCCTAAAAAATAGTTTTTGGACATTGTTGAAAGTAACTAATAATAACATTGGGCAATGTATTTATAAAAATAAAATAAAATAGAGCATAATAACATAACTGCTCATTATTATTTGTGTTATTATGTATTACTCACCAATGCTATAAAGGCACCAACTGTATATCCACTTTGTGGACACTTCTTACTACTATTCTTCTTCTTTGTGCATCAAACAGGTGCTTGCAACTCTTTATTATTGCATTATCAATCAGTTCCAGTTAATAGGAGCTGTTCTCTTTATCAACAAAACGTTCTTTTTTTTTTAAATATTCGTCTAAAATCAATTTCTGAAAATATTGTGATGAAAGTTTCATGAAGCTGAAGCCAATAAGTTGGAGATTTGTTTAACATTTTTAAGTAATTTTTACACAATTCAAATATTTTTTTAATTATACCCCCATCAATGTCACACATCATATGACATTTTGCGCAGTTGAAGGGTTAAGTCTGGCTAGCCTGCGGTCTATCTTTGCATCCATGACGTTAGGAAGTTTGCAGCTTTGGCTGCCTTGTTTGGCAACATGTCTTGTGCCAATATTAGGGCACAGGAATTTATGAGGTTGAACAGGGTCCTGGTCGCCCATTATTTGGTTAACGTTCCTGCTCCTGGGCATTCCTGTGTTGCTTTAGGTCGCAGGTAGCAGCCAGTTGTCTCAACTTTGCGTTGAGGAGTTTGTGGCGGCCGCCTTCCGGGTAAGTCCCTCTTTTCCTTCTCTTTGGTTATGTAGCTCCAGGGAACCGTAGGGGCTCCGCACAGAAAACCAGCATTGAATGTAATGAAATGCCATCTTCAGTGTGAGCCCCAGAGGCTGACCCTGGCAACCCTTCCTCCCTCCAGTCAGCATTTTTTCCCGTTGTCTTGATACTTAGCTGCCGAACTGGAGGATTGAGTAGCCAGCGCGGAGAGGTCCAGGGTTCCCCCATTCCCCCTCCCGCGGAGGGGAGGGCTGCACAGACGAGCGGCACGGCAGTGGAGTGTGACATTTGCTTGTTTGCTTGTTTCCTTGGGATTAGAGGGCTTCTACCTCTCTGTTCGGTTTTTAGTTGTTAGTTCTTAACATGTGGGGTTTGTTTTGTTAAGCCTACCTTTCTGGGTGCCAAACCCTAGTCGATAGCAAACAAGGGAAAACCCACAGGGAGGGGGGGGGGTTTCCAGGGCCATTGCTCCCTGAAACCTCTCTGAAGAGGCCAGGTTCTGACTCGTAGTCCATGGTAGGTCAAACCCCATAACTAATGTCCCGGTCTAATACAGTATATCACTCATTAGCCTCATTGCTCCAGGAAGCCTCTGGGACTCACCCAGAAAATGGCATTTCATTACACTCAATGCTGGTTTCTTCACTTATTTAGGTGAAATGTATCTTCATGAATTAATTATGTTTTAATTTTATTTACAGAATAATGCCAGTCCAGAAAGGTGTGCTGCCCCTTGGCATTTTATGCATTAAAAAAATAACACAGCTTTTGATTGATATTGTATCTATGTGCATCTATGAAACTATCAAAGAAAGAAAATCACCTGAAAACACTAAAGAACAACAAGTAAGCAGCCATGAAAAAAACCAGCATTATGTAAACACTAAGTTAGAAATGGACCATGACCAAAAAAGAATTGAGCAGGAAGAAGCATGTGCATTCAACCGGCAAAATACTGAACTAGATGGAACACATGGCAACGGCCAACAAAAAACTGAAGAGGAGAATGTGCACAGCCATGCCATCACTGCTGAAGACACAAACAAGCAGCCAATAAAATCAGATAATATTGATGAACATGAAATTCATGAAGTCATCATAAATGATGAGAATGCAGCTAAGTTGGAGAACAACCAAGAATTATTATATGGCTGTATACGATGTTCTTTAGAGACGGAAAATACAGCCAATGAAAATATCGAGAAAGAAATACAATTAGAAAGGAGTGAGTATTAGTGTCTAATAATTGGTATTGTATTATTTATTGGGTAATTCAAGTACTGTAGAATTAACATATGGTTTTCACTGTGTTATTTAGTATGCCATGTAGAGATATTGTAGAGCTTTCACTACATTGTTAAGTATTAACAATAGGAGTACCCTGTGTTTTTCACCAGATTATTGCATTCCAGTATCCTTAGTAGCCAATTTGTGCTGTCCCTGCCCACTTAGGGGTAATGTTTCCTGCAGGGTTTGGGTTTCCTCACTGGATGCCTACTTTCAAGACATCTTGTACCTGGCAGTGCATGGACCTCATTTCATCTGCAAGACTTGTACATGGGAAATGATACTCCTAGCATTTTGCTAATACATATGCCTTTTGTGTCTTATCAGTTACCTGCCAAACACACGATGAAACTACGACGTTGCTACAATGTTCGAACAAGTTTAAACGCCTCCTAACCAGTTGTAACAACCAATAAAGCAAGTTGTAACAGTGTTCTAATACATCATAAAAATGTTATAACAAGATATATCAACTTTATTTCAAGTTGTAACAAGTGGAAAATAGGGACAGTTATGTTGTGTGTTTGTAGGGTATTTTATATGATGCTTTGGCAGAGGGTGCATGGAGGCAATTTCGTTGTATATGTGGCCCTGGTGACCCATGCCTTTCTTGGCCAAATGACTTAGGTCATGTAGTATTGTCTCCATTGCAAAAATACTCTGCCTCTCAGATGGTCTGTGGACAACTTCTCTCAACAGGTCTCATTCAGCTGATATATTTGCATCAATATGTGGGAGGGGTGGCCAATGGTTTTCTCATAGGTTTTCTCAAGTGGTTGTGCAATGGCCTTCTTTTCCAAAAAAATCTACTCATGCTACATGTATTATGTATGACATTTATGCCAAAAGCAGTACTGTAGTAGAAAGTGACAAAACAACCCGTTCCCGTTTCCAGTGCCGAATCAGGATTGTGCGGATCTGCGGTTCATTCTGGACTTGTACCCTCTGGACCCCTGGATTCCTTGATCCTCCTTTCGGATGATCACTCTGTCCCGAGTCCGGCTTCTTTTGGAGCCGGGTTCATAGATGGTGTCTCTTGACCTCCGGGATGCATATTGGAACGTCCCAATTCATCCAGGGTTCAGGGACTGGCTAGGTTTCATGGTGGGACAGCAGGCTTACTGCTTTTGTTTCCTTTCTTTTGGGTTGAATCTGCCACCTCGCATATTCACGCGTCTTACCCGGGTCGTAGTGACCCATCTGCATCTGCTAGGGGTTTGCATTCTGGCCTACCTCAACGACTGGCTGGTGTGGGCTCCCAGTCGGTCCATTTGTCTGCTTGCCAGGGGTGTGGTTCTTTCCCAGTTCATTGGGTTTGGATTCCTGGTGAGCTGGAGGAAGTCGCATCTGGTTTCTTCCTCCAGCTCACCAGGAACCCACACCTCAACAACTAGCTGGTGTGGGCTCCCAGTTGGTCCACTTGTCTGTTCGCCAGGGGTGTGGTTACTTCCCAGTTTGTCGGGTTTGGGTTCCTGGTGAGCTGGAGGAAGTTCCATCTGGTTTCGTCCCAGGTTCGGACCTGACTGGGCCTCATGTGGGACTCTCGGACTGCTTCCACGTCTCTCCCTCTGGCGGCGTTGCTGCGACTGTGGTCCCACCTTCAGCTATTTCTGGGGGATTCCTATGTCACTTGGCGGTTGCTCAAGTAGTTGTACGGGAGTCTGAATTTCGCCATGCTGGTTTATCCGCCAAGTCGGGTCTGGCTTCGGCGACTGTTCTGGTTTCTTTAGGGATGTCCCTTCCACCTCTCTTGCAATCGCTAGGTTCAGCCTCGGGGGCCTTGCTGTGTTGCTGGTTTCCTTTTCTGGTTTTTCGGGGTTCAGTGCCTTGGCGCCTACCCGAGCCCTTGCTTGATGTGTTTATGGATGTCTCATCTCTTGGCGACTATGAAGTTTCCTGCTATTATTTTTACCATTCAATCAATATTCGTAGGTTGTCTTCTATTTCCAATTGGGTTGTTTTGTCTTTTCTTTCTCATAACCGTGATTTGATGCCCAAACCTGTTGCCTCTTATTGTGCGTTGCTGGCAAAGCCGCTCCAGCTTGCCTTCGGAGTGGATGTCACTTCGGCCCCGTTTCGCAAGCTTTCTCGTGCTTTGTTTCTCCTCTGGCCTGCTCATACACTGCCTGAGACATCCTGGTCCTTGGACAGGTGCTATCTTTTCTCTCTTCTCCTAGGTTTGTGGTGATCCCTTCGGTTCAAGATTTTTTCCAAGGCGCTGTTTCTGTTGGCATTGGCCTCTGGGGGTCAGGTTGGTGAGCTTCATACTCTCATCTGGCGCAGAGGTTTCTGCTCTTTCGGTCCTGGTGGTCAGTTTGTTCGTTTACAGCCGTCTCCTTCTTTTCTGGTGAAGAACGAGACGACAGCCTTCTGGTAGAGCTCTTGGGTCATTGATGCTTGGTTGGTCAGGCCGGGGGTGCATCATGTGTTGTGTCAGGTTGCAGCTCTTCGGTGTTATCTGTGTGCCTCAGCTTTTGTGGCCAGGGACGCGCTTAGAGTTGATCTGGTTTCCCCCATTCTCTGTTCCAGGGCTTGGGTCTCCCAGGTCGTCCACAGGATTATTAAGTCTAGCCAGCCTTCGGTCTACCCTCGTGCCCATGACGTTCGTAAGTTTGCTGCTTTGGCTGCTGTGTTTGGTAACATGCTTTGGCCAACATTTGGGCACAGGGGTTTTGGAGGTTGACAGGGTCTTACATCCCCCCCCTCCTTATCTGGTCAATATTCCTGGTCCCGGTTGTTCGTGTGTAGTTTTGGGTTGCAGGTTGCAGCCAGTTGTCTCGACTTTGAGTTGATGTGCACGTGGCAGCCGCCTCCCGGGTAAGTCCCTCTTTTGCTTGTCTTTGGTTAGATAGCTCCAGGGAGCCGGACAGGCTCCCCACAGAAAACCAGCGTTGAATGTAATGAAACGCCATTTTCTGGGCGAGCTTCTGCTATGACCACATGTACACCAGTATGATCATATTGTGGCTGGTGTATGTTGAGTTTAAACTGTATAGGAATATCTAGGTTGATTAGCCTAGTATCACCAATATTATTGTACTGTATCTATAATCTCATTTTGTGTACTTGAGTTCATTGCGGAAGCTTATTGTCGTGTATCATGCAACTACCATTACATGTCTATGCTATGGAATGCTATATAGGGCATGTTAGGTGTATTATGATGTAGATTATATGTATTATGATGAAAATTTACATTTACATATATAACTGAGGAATGATTAGCAGGTATACTGTGATCCAAGTCTTAAATAACATTGTTATAGGTATAACAGTCGACCGGTAACTGCTGGATATTCTTCTTATCCCCCCCTCCTAACCTCCTTGTTGTACCGTCTAGACATCAGTATTACCATGTCTAGTAGAAATGACTTCTTAGTGTGCTTTTGTATATATTCTCCTGCACATTGTTTCTTTGATATATATATGCCTGTAAGATTGTATATTGTAATAAGCAGTAACACGCAATTAGGTATTATATGAATTAGACGTTAATGGTTGGTTTTGAGCTTCTGAATATTGAAGGAAGAGAGTCTGTTGACTTGCCAAGTTAGTAACAATGTTGTTCTCAGCTGGCCAGGCCCTTGGCAAGTCAAGGGCTTGGCAGGCCCTTTTGATTTCTCAGATGGGCGGACGTGTGACGTCCAGCTCTTGACTTTAGTAGCATTTTGTCTGTTTATTGACTACTACTGTATGTACAAGTATGCTATTACACTTTTTTGGATCAGACTACCGATGTACATCATTTATGCCAGGTAGTAGGTGATTGTAGATATCCATATTTAGGTGGGTACCTGAGGACCTTAAAGTGATTGTTATTGTATGTTATGGTTTCATAACATTTGGATGACATTTCATAACACCCTTTGGGTGTTATGGTTTCCTCACCCACTACTTATTCATGTGTGACACCACCATCCTGTTACTTGGGTTAGTGTACCATTGTGCTAGTATATAACCTGGTGTCAGCTAGTCCCAAGGATGTGCAGTTTAATGCCCATTGATGATTTTGGAAGCTGTGATTAAGTTCTTTGTTGTAATTAGAGTATCAGTTTTAGAGGATTTTAGTTTCTTATTGTTTTACGGTGACCTGTATGCCCCTGTAAACTGGTGTCTTTTTTGCTAGCCTTCTTACTTTACACTAGACACATATTGAGACTTTGGCCAGGCTATGGTTTTCCAGCGATGCTGTGGAGCATGAAGTCATGACATCCCTGGAGGCTCCCTGGCACACTCCCTCCCTCCCTCCCTCCGGTTGACAGTTTTGTTTTTTGATGGTCAGCTTCCGAACTGAAGGTGTGAGTAGCCGATGCAGGGGGTCCGGAGCTCCCCCCTCCCCCACCCTCCTTCCGGGAAGGGGAGGACTGCACGGACAAGCGGCATGGCTGCGGTGTATGTCATTTGCTTGTTTGCTTGTTTCCTTAGGCTGGGGAGTTCTGCCTTTTTGTTCAGTCTTCAGTTGCAATTTCTTACCAAGTAGGGTCTGTTTTGGTATGCCTACCTTTCTGGGTGCCTAACCCCAGTTGAGGGCAGATATGGAATGCTCCCAAACACATGGGGGTTTTCATAGGCCATTGCTCCCTGTGCCTTTCTGAAGGGGGCCAGGTTCTGGCTCGTGGTCCCCAGTAGGCTGAACTCCAATGACTGATGCCCCAGGCTAGTATAGCGTATATCAGTCCAATAGCTTCAGAGAGCCTCCAAGGCTCACCCAAAAAATGGTGCTTCATTACATTCAACGATGTTTTTTATTTTTTTTTTTACTGTGCTATTTGTTCTGCTGCAAACACAGTTATCTTTTAATATTTGTAAAAACAACATATTTTTAAGTTGATATATATTTACACAACTATATCTTACATGCCTATGATTATTTCTAGTACAGTTGATAATTTTTAATTATTAAAAGTCATATGAATCATACTATGTATAATGTTTCCAACAAAAATATTAATTTTCCAAGTATTTTCTAGCACCAGAGGCATTAAGACAAGAGCTCAGCCAGCTGCTCACATCACATTCACATGTTACCCTCCATGGTCTTCTCTTTGACTCGATTATGACTCATTTGGATCCTATATACATGCGAGATAAACGGGGGCGTCCAGCTGTTCTGGACATAATAATGCATTTCATCAATTCAACTCTAAGAGAACTGGATTTTGGGAAGGCAAAGATGTTCTCAGAAGCTAATATGTGCAAGGTTAGTTTAATTATATACTGTAGTGATATCTATATCTATAAAAGAGAATGTCTGTCTTATTGAGGATGGAGGCCACATGCTTTGGGCTACTTGCTCAACTTTTTAGAATGATACATGGATGGTAGAGTACTGTCATAGGCAGATTGGGGGTTGGCCCGATTGTCCATCTTTAAGAAGGATCAGCTCTGATTGCAAGTCCCAGCGACTCTTGTGAAATATGAAATGGGGTGAGGGGGGTTTTGGTTTTTCCATAGAGTTATTCAGCAGTTTTTCTGCTGAACTTAATATCCCATCACACAGGTCTTTTTTTTTTTTTAACTACGTTGTTAGTGTTGCATGAAAATAACAAGAATGAAACATGTCTGGCATGTCTTTGAGCCCTTTGCAGTTTATTGATGTGCTTCTTGAGATGTGGGCATCATACAACTGCTGCATATTCCAATTTTGGTCTCACAAAGGTCATGGACAATTTCTGTAGTATTTCATCATCCATTATTTCAAAGCAATTCTGAAGTTGAAAAGTGTAGCATATGCTCCTCTCACAGTGTCTTTGATGTGGTCCACTGGTGAGAGTTTGCTCTCCAGAGCCACCCCCTAGATCTTTGTCCAGTTCTTTAATGTCTTTCCATATGATTTGTAGGCCGTGTGTGGCCTATTTTCTCCTATTTCACACTCTATAATTTAGCATTTATTCATATTGAATTCCATCTGCCATGTGTTACTTCACTCACTTGTTCTGTCCAGGTCATCTTGAAAAGCATGACAGTCATTTAAATCTCTTATTTTCCCTAGCACTTTTGCATTGTCAGTAAACATGTTCTTATAACTCTGTATCTTCTCTGATAGATCATGTCCAGATAATGAACGTTATTGATGCTTGAACTTAATTTTGTGGTACTCTGCTAGTAATATTGCTCCAGTCTAATTCATTGTCTCTGATTAATATCCTCATTTTTCTATCGGTTTGAACATTTTTCATCCTTGTCAGAAGTTTTCTTGTCATCCCTCCAGCATGTTCTTGCTTCCAGAACCTATTATGTGGGACTGTCTAAAGGTTTTTTTAAGATCTAGATAAATGTAGTCAATCCAGCCATCTCTTTTTCATGTAAGATCTCTTTGACTCTATCATAAAAACTAAGTAGGTTTGTTACACAGGATCATGCTGTTCAGAAGGCATACTGTGTGTTTGTTATTATGTCATTTCTTTCCAAGAATACTACCCATTTGGGTTTAATTATTTTCTTGTGTTTTGACTACAACACTTATCAAGATACAAGTCAGTAATTTAGACGGTCATCTCTGCTACCATTATTCTAGATTGGAACCATTTTTATCTTTTTCCCTATGTCTAGTAATGTTCTTGTACGTAGAGATGCCTGAAAAGTCAATTGAAGTGGAATGCTCAGCTCCGCTTAGAATGCCCAAAACTCAAGGTGAGACTGGGCCAACTGCTTTGTTGCTGCCTAGCACCTTGATCAATTTTTCTACTTCAACTCTTGAGACTTCTATGTACTATGTTTACATATTGAAATTTTTCATATCAAATTCATATTGAAATGTTTCTTATCAAATTCATATTGAAATGTTTCTTATCAAATTCATATTGAAATGTTTTCATATTGTATCTGGTTCATTAAAAACATTGTTTTATTATCGTTCCTCGATAGAGTTTTTTGTGAATCAGATACTTTTGATATTGTTTGCCTTATGAGCTTTTGTTCTCATATTGGTATCCTTAGTGGTATTTAGTGCCTTTTGAATGTCCGCACATTTGATGGTGCTACATAGCCTTCCCGACTTGGTGCCTTCTTTTGATAATTACTTAGTTACTTTCAAACTAATGGAGACACATGCTTAATAATTATCTTAAATGTAAGACTTATATAGTCATAAATTGCTTCTAGTATAAAAGTTTACTTATTCTAATATTTTGGATCATTTGAAAATGCATAGATTTAATAATTTTATGTTAATGTGTACAGTACATTAAATTTATTTTGTATATGTATTCATTTATTTTAATGCTTGGTTTACTATTTTCAGATACTGTTTGAGCATTTGCAAAATGCAACACGACTAGAAAAGCTTATCATTGGACGATCATGTTATTGGAGATCACAAATTTTTGAAAACCTAAGCTCCAAGTTGATTTGCATGCCACATTTAACTGTCTTGAAAATCCAGTATATAGGTACTCCAGAAATGATATGTGACCTATCAGGAATCTGCCCGAAACTGAGTGAGTTGTCATTGAGAGGCTCCGAAAAAATCACAGATCAGCAATGTAAGGAAATAGCTCAATGTACTGGGTTGACATCACTTGATATTTCTGGCACAAGAATTACTGGAAGAGGATGTTGGAAAATTTTAGACTCTGTAAAGAACCTATCATGGCTACACCATTGTGCTTTCAATTGCAATTCAGACTCTCTCTTATTTGAATCTAGAGCAGACTTATTTAACTGTATTAAGGAACAATTATACCATGGCGAAAATGCCTTATCCCTTGTAAATCGCCCAGACCTCAGCATTAGAGATGTTAGATTTAACTTGAAAAATTTTTGGCTCTTCAACCCATTCACTGAGGATTTACTTACTACAGTCCTCTGCCCATATTTGGAGCATCTTCGTCTTGATTTTATCTTCCAGGACTTAGAAGATGAGCCAGATGTATCAACACTTGCATCTCTTTCAGAGGTATAGTTATTTTAATTCTATTCAGTACTGCAATTGTGTTATTGTTCCTCTGCATGTATTACTTAGATATTTCTGGTAGGGATACTCTATAGTTTCCACATGATTTCTAATCTTAGACCAGTTTGTCACTTCCTTAGGCAAGTGTCAAGCTCTTTCCTGGACATAGTAAAACTGTGTCCTGATCAGATTTACATACACATAAATGGCTCAGTGAGGATCTTTTCAAACTATCCCCACCACTCTACCAGGAAATGTGGAACTGTATAGAGGAATAGAGACACTGGAGAATTCTCAATCCAGCCCAGAATTACTGTCAAAATATTTATTTAAGTACACTCAAAATACCACTTGAATCACTAGTTGGCTAAATGACAATTACTACAACCTGTCATCAGATTCTACTACCCACACTGACAACAGAGGCCCATGGGGAATGCCATCTCAGTTTTGGTAAGAGGTTTCCCTGTTGATTTTGCTGACTGGCAAAGGTTCTGTGTCTGAGTGTAAATGTGTAACACTTTACTGCTTTCCAGTGCTCTTTGTCATATAACACTTTGAAACTACAGTATTGATGGTTTAGGCATCCACTTCTTGAGGTTGAGATGATTTCGGGGCTTTAGTGTCCCCGCGGCCCGGTCCTCGACCAGGCCTCCACCCCCAGGAAGCAGCCCGTGACAGCTGACTAACTCCCAGGTACCTATTTACTGCTAGGTAACAGGGGCATTCAGGGTGAAAGAAACTTTGCCCATTTGTTTCTGCCTCGTGCGGGAATCGAACCCGCACCACAGAATTACGAGTCCTGCGCGCTATCCACCAGGCTACGAGGCTATTGTTTCCCCAGCTTGAATCTTTGACCTCTTGTTCCTTAATATTTTATTCATGTATTAAAAAAAAAGTGATTCTGAAGTTGGAAAGCATAGTATATGCTTCTTGCACAATGTCATTTATGTGTTCCTCTGGTGACAGTCCAGAACCACCCCGAGATCCCTTCCTTTGTCAGAATTTTTTAATTAATGCCTCTCCACATAATCTGTAGATTGTGTGGGGCCCATGTTTTCCTATTCCACATTCCATAACATGTCATTTATTCACGTTGAATTCCATTTGCCAAGTGTTGCTCCATACTATTATTTTGTCTAGGTCATCTTGAAGAGCATGACAACTGTTTAAACCTTTTTGTCTTCCCTAGTAGCTTAGCATCATCAGCAAACATGTTCATATAATTCTGTATTCCTTCTGGTAGATCATTTATATAGACAATGAACATTATGAGATCTGAACCTTGTGGTACTTTAATAGTAACACTCCTCCAGTCTGATACATTGCTTCTGATTACCACCCTTATCTTTCTGGCAGTTAGAAAAAATTTTATCCCTGTGAGAAGTTGCCCTGTCACCCCTCCAGTATATTAGTTTCCAAAACAGCCTCTTGTGTAAGACTGTCAAAATCCCCTTTTAGTTCTAGATAAACAGTCAACCCAACCATCTCTTTCTTGTAGAATCCCTGTAGCTCTATCATAAAACAAATAGATTAGTTAAACAAGATCCTCCTGGTTTAAAACCATACTGTCTGTCTGTTGTCAATGATGTGGATCTATGAAGACTAAACCACACACCAGAAAATGAGGAGACGACGAAGTTTTGGTTCGTCCTGGACCATTATCAAGTCAACTGATAAGCCACGTTATTGTGACTCATCGTCTGCATATGGATCTATAATTTAGAGGGTCTTCTCTGCTACCAGCGTTGTAGATATGTCTATTTAATAGTGTGGTGACCAAAACTGAACTGCAACATTCTTATGTATGGTCTCTCTCACTTCTGTCCCATTTCCACGGAGTGGACAATTGAAGATGCATCCTTCTATTTACTTTGTGAGATGTTTGGCTGTTCTCAGAGCGACCTCTTCAGTTGGCATGGAATCAGAGGCTTTCTTTCTCTGTGGCCCCATTCCCAGATCACAAGTCTTGCGGTGGATGCCATTTGGCTGGACTGGAGTTGATAGTTCTTGTGCTCTTCTCTCTCCTTCAGCTGCTGCTCCTCATTCTGACCAGAACTGGAAACATTTGCCAGCATATTGGTTTTAAGTCTGGTGTACTGCTGTTTATATGGTGCACAGCACAGGTGATGGATCTTTTGGTGTTGAATTTATGACTTTCTTTGCATTTATGCCCGAAACTTTCTTTGCATATATGCCCGAAACGCTTTGCGTAATAGTGGCTTTAGGCATTGTATGTACTAGCTATACCTATAAGTTAAACAATCCTTGTAAATATTTATTGTATGTATGTACCTTACCTAAATAAAATTGTATTGTATTGTATTTGACTTTCTTCATCAATACAGTATGAAGAAAACGCTCGTATTTTGTTCTTATCTCTCACCACACACCTTCTGCTTCTGCTCTGGTGGCTAGTCCTTTATGTCTTTGCTTTTTGTTGATCAATATCTTATTTATTCCCAGTACTGTTGCTTATTATTTTTTTCCTGTTGGTGGAGTCACTTTTGTTGACCTTTGGCAGCGATGTTTTTCTGAGATGTTTTGCAAGTTGTCTCATGCATTTTTAATCTTGAGCCAACTCACTTGCTCTCTTGAGCTTTCATGGTCTCTGGATTCTTTTGTGTGCCCATTTCTTTATCTCTTTCTGAACATGACCATTTCTGGAGGAACTGAATAGTATCTCCTTGAAGCTAACTTGCTGAGGTAGCTCCACACACACATGACTTACAATAGCCTTAGGAGTCCTGAAGGGCCTATTTGGGACTAGAGACAGAACCAAGCCCCCCCTTACAGAGGGGCAGGGAGATTCTTATATTCACCCCTCACCAAAGCAATCATTCAGAAAGTAAGCAAAGCAAAACAAACTGCACGACTCGGGGAGAGAGAGAGAAAAAATGCAGCAGCAAGCAACTCTACAAATGATTCACTCAATAATTAGAATGAACTCCCCTAATTATGTCTGGCTACCAGCAGGTGGCAGCACTACTAGAAGCTCCCAACTCCTACATCATCAGACCCTCAGTCTGATCCCCAGGAAGCCACCAGGCGGTCTACCAGAAGAGGCATTTTATCATATTCCACTCTGGATTTTCTGTTTGCTATGCATTCTGTGGAGAGCCCCTTCAGCTCCCTCGGAGCTATACCGGGCTGATGTGTATATATTAGGCCGTGGCAACAGTCAATCGAAGGAGTCCTAGACCTACCGAGGACCAGAGCCAGAACCTGGCCCTCTCAAGAGAGGCACGAGGAGCAATGGCCTAAAGACACCCCCATGTAAGTGGAAGCAGTCTTTGTCTGCCATCTACCAGGTGAGGCACCCAGAAAGGTAGGAATTCCAAAACAAACTACTGCTGATTAATTAATTGCAAACCGAAAGCCGAACTAGCAACAGAACTCTCCAATCAAAACCAAGGAAACCAGTATGACGTCACCACAAATGCCGTGCAACCCCCCGCTCCCTGGGAGGGGGACGGAGGGGTCCCAAACCTCTGTCTCGCAACTCTCCCCAGTTCAGAGGCTGAGTATCAAAAACGCGAAAAAAACGCTGACCAGAGGGAGGGAGGGATGCCGGGGAGCCTCCGGGTCTCACCCAGAAAATGGCGTTTTATTACATTCAACGCTGGTTTTCTGTGGAGAGCCCCTTCAGCTCCCTGAAGCTACCTAACCAAAGAAAAAAAAAAAAGAGGGACTTACATGGGAGGCGGTCGTCACTCGCTCCTCAACTCGAAGGCGAGACAACTGGCTGCAACCTGCGACCCAAGGCTACACATCTTGGGTCGCAGGTTGCGACCCAAGGTGAGATACACGGTAAAGTAGCCGTGTGGCCTCACATGGTGAGGCTACCTCACTGTGCGACACACTGTGAGGTAGTCTCACCGAGTGTGGCAGCCACTCTTGTTTTGCTCACCATGGTGGTTCTATGGTCTTAGTGGTTTGCTATGGTGAACACATATGTACATGGGTATATACAATGTGTGTATATAGTGTAATAACAGCAACAGGAGTATGTTGGGAGGAGCTATTTTGGTGAGGGAGGTGACGTCGTAATCGTAGCGTCGTCTGTTGGCTGCTGTGTGATTTCTCATGCAGTATATGGTGGCCACTGTGCTGACACAATACAGGTTTACTGGCATAGTTTTGGTGAATAAAACATGTAGATAGGTATACATAACAAGTGTAAATAGTGTAATTAAAACAATAACAGTATGGTGGGAGGAGGGGTGATGGCAAGTACGATGTTGGAGGAGTGAGGGAGGATTGGCTGGATGTGGCAGCTCACGCTCGCAGAGTTCCGAGTGTGTTTATGGTGTGTGTATATAATGTGATACTGTACAGTATGTAAATAGATTGTATATATACATAAATTAGCATGATACATTAGAAGTATGTGCAAGATATGTGTACACGTGTCATGCACGTAACACAGTGTTTTCGGACAGTACAGATGTTCTACTGCCATAACATAGAGTACGTGTTCATTATACATAGGATTGGCACGAAAAAAACAGATAAAATGTATTTAGAATTGTGCGCAAAAAATGAACAAAAATATATTCGTGGCAACTCGCGCTTCTTGACCCAGGTGCCCTACTGGCCCCCGGGAGCGTATGCCACAGGCAACCAGGGATTGATGACGTCACGTGCGAACTTATGAACTCCATAGCAGCCAAAGTAAGTACAATTTCGACTTTTTGTTAACATATCCATACTCACGGAAGAGTTTTTGACACTTTCAAAAAAACATAGCATTTTTTCCAGAGAATTTATTTCCTGCGCACTAGAGGGGGGTGCCATATTTGAAAGCCGAGCAGCCCAGTGGTTAAGCAAAGTTGCACAATTTAATACAAATTTGTTCAAATATGAATTTTACAGAAAATATATATTTACAAAACAAATATTTGTTGTAATTTCTTTCCAGATCAGAAAATTGGAGGCCAATTTGTATGATCGCTGCTCCCTTCATTTAATAAGCAACATGGTAGAAAGCTGCGGAGAACGACTCACAACTTTATTGCTTCATCTAGCTGATGATTGGTTTTTTGTTGCACAAGTATGTATATGTAAATTCATACATACAGTACAGTATTTCACTATAAAATGAGCATATTTCTAACTCCAGTTATATATAATTATGTTCAATTTCCATAGCAATAATATTTAGAAAGTAAAATATTTTATCAATATTAATGTAATTATGCAAAACTGGTAAATGTTTGTTGTTTTTGCGTATAATTCATCCATGTATCTTGCCAACTTGAATTATGTGTAATCATGTTAAATTTTTCTTACCAATGACACTGTAGAAAAAATATATTATCAATATTATTAATATAATTATACAAAGACTTGGATCAATTTTGGTAAATGTCTATTTATTGTTTTTGGTGGTATTTATTTATAAAAAGAGTATATTTTTAATGTTAGTTATGTGTAACCACTTCAGTTTTCCTTACAAATAACACTGTAGGAAAATATTTTCTCTGTATAATATTGACATAATTATATAAAGACTGATAATATGTTTAATATACTGTACACTTCTTGTTTTTAGTCATATTTCATTATAAATAAGTATACGTCCAACTTCAATTATGTGTTATCACATCCTGTTTTCCTGACTTATTAACACCACAGGGAAATATTTTATCTATTTCTGTTATTAACATAGTTTTCAAGAATTTGGGTAACTTTTGGTAAATTTATATTTTTTTTAGCCAATAAAAAATAAAAAATCCCAACAAAAACTCCAAAACTCCCAATAAAAAAATCCAAAGTGCTCGGTAAAAACTCCCTCTCAAAACAAAAATTAACAACACCCACCAAAATGCCCAACGAAAAAAACTGCAAAATGCCCAAGAAAAAAATTTCAAAATTGCCCAAGAGGTACTTTATGTTAATTTAATCACTGTGCTGCGCCGGCTGAGAAAACTTGTTTGCCCATTACTGCGCCAACCGAGAAAACACCTTTTTTTAGTTTTCCGTACTCATTCGAAATGCAAGCTCGGTAGATTGGGTACAAAATGGACTCCTGGGACCTCTGGTGAGAGGCAGCCATCTTAAAAAAAAATCCCACATTTCCTTAAGGCTACTGGCAGAAACAGTTCTGAATGAGCAACCAAGGATGGCACATGCGCTTTTGGCTCCCAATCCCCTGTTGGATGCAATGTTGAAAGATCGCTCTCCGTCAGTAAAATTCAGACCTTATTGTTTGAAGAACATGGGGGTCATGATACTGATGAAGCTACGCACAATAAGGACCTAACACAAGGGTCAGATACAAGTGATACAGCACCGATGAGGATGATACAGCGAGCATATCTCGGTAGTGGCTGAGCGCCACCCTTGCTCACCCATGTCATCTCCAGTTTTTATAGATGATACTATAGATAAATCGTTTTCTGGGTTTAATGATGATGAGTCTGATACAAGTAGCATAGATGAACAGTGTTAGCAGCTTCCATGGTGGTGGTTATTGCCAGTGGTAGTGGTGGCAATACAAGGAGCACGAGTGAATTCGTGAGGGACGACTGTGATAATTTTGTAACACACAAACCACAATTTGATGATTCTGATGTTGGTTTTGCACCCACTTTCCCATATACAGGTGAAGATATGAGTGATACCAAGACAGAATTTTGTCATTGAGCTTTTCCTAGATTTTTCCAAGAATACCTGGATTTTTTTTTAATCCCATCTTACAAAGCGATCTTTTCAAGAATAGCTGAATCTCTTCCAGAGTACTTGACCCTCTTCCAAAATACCTGAATCTTTTTCAATTCTACCTTACAAAGCAATCTTTTCAAGATTACCTTACAAATTGATTTTTTCCTATAATCTTTTCAAGACTACCTTACACTTCACAAGCTTGGCTATATACCTCCTACAGGAACTAAAGCCAAGGGTGTACGTGAATGCATTTTTTGCAAGCACACAACAAAGAAACAGGATGCGAAAATCTGTGTGTGTACCTGGTGCATCAAGTGCGAAGTCGTGTTGTATACCAAGGACTGCATCTTTAATTATCACTCACTTCCGAAGTACTGAGTGTGTAATACAGTGTGTTACTGTGTAAATAGTGTGTAAAACTGTACATGTTTTATTAAATGTTAAATATTGCATATTTTACATATTTACATGTTCAGGGGAAGGGAATTTATCATTTTAGAAAGATCAAAACAAATTTGCGAACACTTGATTTTCAGCGCACAGGAGGAATGTCCCAATAAACGAAGTGCATCACAGTGGTTAATTAAGTAGAGTTACTTCGTGAACTAAGCATAGAATGGATTTATTTTATGAACTAAGCACAGATGCTGAATAGTAGTTTCTTAAACACTTTTCCCACACCACTGTTTCTTATTGTAGTAATATATTACAAAATTAAATGGCTAGAAAACGTTTTACTCAGGCAGTAGCTTTGCCTTTCCAATAAGATACTTGTGTAATTGTTTATATTTACTTGAATGTGTGGCATAGCTGCCTAGCATAAGTAAAACTTTTGTAGAGATTTCAGCTAGAATATTTATACAAAAATCTCTTTTTTTTTTAGGCTCACAATGTCGTTGCCAGTTGTTGTCCAAACCTGGTTACTCTAAACTTCTCTGGAGATTACAAGGTCAGCATTACTGCACTAATTTAATTACAGTTACATAAAAATGTATTAATAGATTTTCACCTGAAAAAAACATGAAAATAACCTGTGCTTTTCAAGAGAGATACATAATGGTTTTGCCATGTTTATTATGTTTATTCTTGCTTTGTTCTGCTACTTCTCTAGACACTATCATGAGAATACAGGTATTGTATGTACTTTATTATAATTTAGACAGCTAAAGCAGTTGTTCTGTTACAGGCCAGACATAGTGTAGAAGAATGTGATGATCGACTGGACTTTGGCATTCCAACACCAGCACACCCACATTTAAAGCACCTGAAACTGATCGGAGTAATCAGTGATCGACGCTTGCACTTCATTCTGAGCCACACTCCTGCACTTGAAACCTTGCGTATGGATGGGGAACTAGAGTGGTTGCACGATGCTACTTTTACTGCAGTTTTAAAAACAAATCCTTTACCATATTTAGAGGTACAGTAGGCTTCCTTTTATTTTTTATTTTGTTGAAGCTCTTTCTATAAATTCTATCTAAAATTAGTACTGTAGCTGTGTAAGTGCATTTGCTAAGATATTAAATGTTTAATTATTTTTGTGAGATAATGTTGTCCATCAGTATTGCAGTTATTTTATTCATCTCTTAAGCAATTTATCTCCAAATTTGTACCCAAAGTTATGTTGACATAATTTTGGTGCAGAAGTTTCTCATTGATCATTTTATATAAGACTGATGTAATAACCCACTTCATTCAATCTCATGCACAGTCAAACACATATTTGTATGACTCATCTTTAATTTTAAATCAAACAGGATGTGCAGAGTACAATTTTCCACTAATAAACACAATCTCATATTTGATTTCATATCAGACATATCACAAATTTTTTATACAGTACTAGAATATTTGATGGCAGTTCCTCCTATGGCCTTACCTCTAGGTAAGGTAAGACTTACCTCTAGGTAAGGTAAGACTTACCTCTAGGTAAGGTAAGACTTACCTCTAGGTAAGGTGTTAGGTAGCCATAACAGAAAAACCTCCTGAGAACCCTATTTAAACAGTATTCTAGGCCAAAACACTGGTCATTAATTTCTCTTGGGTGCCTGTGTTAAGCTAATCTGACAGAGACTTTGCCATCTTTACTCTAACTCTGAAATACATCACTTTCCTGGAAGACAAATGAGTTAGGAGAGACATGATCACTACCTACAAAATTATCAGAAGAGGCAAGGGAGGGAATTATCAGGGGAAAAGTGCCAAACAATTATGACTATTTGCTATGGCAGAACACGAACAAGGGGGACGCAGGTTGAAACTTGGTAATCAAACGAGCCACAAAGACAACAGAAAGAATTTTGTCAGTGTCAGGGTAGTTAACATATGGAATGCATTAGGCAATGATGTGGTGGTGCCAGACTCCATACACAGTTTCAAATGTAGATATGATAGAGCCCAGTAGGCTCAGGAACCTGTAAATTAGTTGATTGACAGTTCAGAGGCAGGAACAAAGTGCTGAAGCTCAAACCCCGCAAGCACAAGTAGGTGAATACAGTCTGTCAGGCTACTATTATTCATTTCTCCAACATGACTAAACCATCCCTGTACCCACCTCAGTCTTATGATTTAAAAACTTTTGCACACGCAAATTTATCCTTACTCAACCAGTTTTGTACTTAATGCTGCAAGAGCTCAGTAATTCGGAAACCGAATGAATTTGCATTTGAGTTTTTACACATTTTTGATATTTTAACTTGAATAGGAATTTGGGTGAAAGGTTATACCCCCATCCCCACTCCCACCTCTCCTCTGTGCGCAAGAAATAAATTCTTGGCAAATTTTTGTTTTTTTTTTGTTTTTGAAAATGTTAAAATACTGATCATAGGTATGTAAAAATAAAAAAATTAAATTGTACTTACTTTGGCCTCAATGGGGGTCTGGAAAATGGCGTGTGACGTCACGATTTGGTGGTCGCCCGTGATGTGGACTCCCGGTCTACATGCACGAGTTGCCTACTTGCTATTTCAACATGCGCGAGTTGCCGCAAATAATTTTTTGTTCATTGTTTACGTACATTTCCAAATACATTTGTTTTATTTTTTCTTGCCAATCCTATGTATAATGAACACGTACACAATATTATGGCAATAGAACATCCATACTGTCCCAAGACACTGTGTTACATGCGTCACAAATGTGTCCACATATATTGCTCATATTTCCAATGTTTCATGTTCATTTATGTATATTTACAACATATTTACACATTATACACTATCATACATTATATACATTCACCGTCAACACACTCAGAACTCTGCGAGTGTGAGCTGCCGCACGCAGCCTGGCCTCCCTCCCTCCCTCACTCCTCCAACCATACTGTTATTGTTTTTATTACACTATTTACACACATTATGTATAAGTATCTACATGTTCATGTAGATACTTATACATACATGTAGATACATGTATCTACATGTATCTACATGTATAAGTATCTACATAAGTATCTACAGGCGCACCACTCGTCGAGCGCCTATAGGCGTGTTGCGCAGTGCAGTAGTTAAGTTTAGTAGACTTTATTCAGGTAGACTTCTCTACTTGAATAAAAAAAAACAGTGTGTGTGTCATTACAGCGTATATGTGTGTAATGTAATGAAACTCCACTTTCTGGGTGAGCCCTGAAGGCTCCCTGGAGCTATCAGGTTAATATGCGATATATTAGACAACGACACAAGTCAAAGGAGTTCAGCCTACTGGGGACCATGAACCAGAACCTGCCCCCCCCCCCTCAGAGAGGTACATGAAGCAATGGCTCCTGTAACCCCCCCCCTGTGGTTGGGGCTTAACTAATCTGCCATTGACCGGGGTTCGGCACCCAGAAAGGTAGGTCTAACAAAACAGACTCCATATGGTAAGAAAATGTGGTTGTTAATGTAACGTTTCTCTTAGCTAAAATACCAGTTTCTTTTACTTGTGTTAATTTTTATGTTTCATTTGTTTTTGAGAGTATGTAAGAGTAAATGTGTATGATTCTCTGTGTAAAGTTTTCCCCGCATTTCCGTGAGAGGAGTGTTTCTACACTCCACGAGGGAGAGAGGGCCGCGACTCCACACACATAGGTTGTGTGGTGTGTGCTTGTGAGGTACTCGCCTCTCTGTGTGAGGTTATTGACCTCCATTTATATCAAAAGTGAAGAGAGCTGTATTCGTTAATCTGATGAGTGAGAATTTTCCTTGTGTGTATTTTCCCTTTCCTTGTGGTTAAGTGAATGTAATGCAAGCACTTTGGTTGTTTCTCGAGTCCCGCCAATGCAAAAATATAGTACCAGTCCCACATGGTCATTCTTGTGTTTGAAGTGTGTATAAATGCCCATTGGTTCCATATCCCTAGTTTGATTTTTGTACTCTAGGGTACAGCTTACAAGCTTCGTGACCTTACAGAGTGGTCATCCAAAAGGAGGTGCAAGGAATCCAGGGGTTCAGATGGGACAAGTCCAGAATGAACCGCAGATCCGCACAGTCCCGTTTCGGCACTGGAAACAGGTGAGAAACTCATCTGAGGGACGGGGTCATTTCGACTATGCCCAAGTGCATCCACTCGGAGATAAAACCCAATGGAGCGCAGGGGAAGAAGCTTTGTCTCGAGCCCCTTGAAGGAGGAGCAAGCCTCCAAGCCCCGTGCCCTGTAACCCTTCCGAGAAGGTCGAGAACGGCCACCCTGAAGAAGTAACAAATCTGACATAGGATGACAACTGGACAAAACGGCATAGAACACCTATGAGACAGGGATCAGGAGGATTTCAAAGAAAGAGCGAGCACAGCCTGTCGGCATGCGAGACAAGAAGCAAAGAACAGAGGCACCACCTCCGTAGGAATCGGCACAGTTTCAACAGTGTGACCGATGCCCTAGCCGCAGAGACCAGCGCACCAGACAAAAGCCCGGCACTCGATGCCTCCACATCCTAGTCAAGCCAGGCCGAAGACAGCTCAAGAAGGGAAAAGAAGTGGAAGACCGAAGCCAAATGCCCACGGGCACACAAATCCTCTGCAACCAAGGATGCCGAAAGGGTAGGAATCTGCACTTGCAGCAGCTGCACAAGGCCAACGTCACAAGGAAGCACAGGGGCGAACAAGCAATGCATTAAGGCGCTCAAACTCGCCCCTCGGGTAAACCTGCAGAATGGTAAAAGTTTCTTGCCATTCGACCGTGCAGGTCCGACAGAACCCATGCCACGCCCCCCAATGAAAAGAATGGGCAGTCTGCCAGCCAGGAAGACTCTGGAACCTCCAATGCATCCTATATGGGGAAGAAGAACTGAATTCAAATGAGGACGGATCCATCACAGAGGCAGAATTCGGGTCTCGCAGGAGGTACGCAGGAAGCATCTCTCGAACCTCCTTAGGCGAGATCTGAGAAGCAGAAAACCTACGGAAAGAAGCCAAGGAATCCAAGGGAACCCGGGGAAGAGCCAACCCCAAATCTTACTCATACAAGGAAGGGGGGGATAAGAAAACCCCTTTCCCTGCAACAACAAACCCCGCAAAAAGGGCACTAACACCCAAGCGTGGTCAAAGGGGACCCAAGCCCCCACAGGTCAACTCCTTTACAGCACCGGGATCCCCCCAAGTCAGGACCCGGGGCAGAGCCATTCTCCACACCCTCTACCCCCTGAAGAAAAGGCAGAGTCCAAGGGAAAGGCAGAAAAGAAGGGGGGCCTGCTGGTGGGACCCAGAAGCCTCGGCAGGAGGAACTGGCTCTGAATGCCTCCGTCCCCAACCCGAATGGAGCAGCCCCCGAAGATGCCCGAGTCTCATTACCATCTAAACCCCTCTCCAACTCTGAAACCCTCAGCCGTTTGGGAGCCCCCCAGGTCTGGGTCCCTATAACCAAAACGTGGCAGCCTTGGGGCATCCGGGTAGGCAACCAACCTAACGCGTTGCAGCAACCTAAACCTAGCATGCAACGCAGATGCCGCCTGTACCTCAATATTAATGTCATCAGAATGGGTAAATTGGAGAACAAGCAAAGGGCACGTCTTGCAAGACTCTGGGTCAAAGATGTCGGTGACCCAACAGGCGGCATTACAGAGGCACAAGCGGTGACTGTCACCCTGAAACAAGGGCACACAGCAACCTCCAAACTCGCACGAGACGAGCTGGAACTCTGAAGACGCATACCTAGTACCACCGAGCCCGACAGGGTTTTCCAGGGCCCATGGGCTGACTGCTATGAGAAGCTAGGGCAGGGTGTTACTAACCGGTTGAGGCCCAAAGCTAACAAGGGGGAGATCAAAACACTGAAACCCCTGCGATGTGTACAATCACGGGGGCCTAGCGAAGGTCCACCAACACAATAGAAGTAGACCTAAAGCCACACAAGACAGATCCCCTACCAGGCAAATAACAAAAAGAAAAGAAAACCTCGCAAAAGTACGTCCCCAAACGAAACAGGAACCGGCTGTTTCTTAATGCCCCAACCAGCAACAATACCACTCCCTACCCAAGGCTAACCAAGGACTACGAAACCCCAGCTGGCCCCAAGGGCGGGGTAAATGCCAAGCAGCAAAAACCCCTATGGAAATGGCGTCCCGAATGCACCAGGGAAGAGAGCCCTGGCACGCAGGAGTATTACTCTTAGGGCGCTCAGAGAAAGTTACACTAAGCGAGCCCCGGTACACTTAGTTACACCTGGGCACTGCACCTCAACTTTGCAGAGAACACCACTAAGGCAAAACACGGCTTGGAAATTGCAGCCAAAGTCGACGATTGCAATAGTCAATGAACTGGGGTTGTTGGGTAGCCGGCGCAAATGGCCCGGGACTGATCGGTGCAATGGTGGTGTGTGATGTTTGCTTGTTTCCTGGAAATTGGGGCGAGTTTTGCCTCTGTTCGGTTTTTGGTTACATTTTTCTTACCATGTTATTCCTACCTTTCTGGGTGCCTAACCCCCCAGTCAATGGCAGATTAGGCAAGCCCCCCAACTACAGGGAGGGGGGGGGTTCCAGGGGCCATTGCTCGCTGTGCCTCTGAGGGGTGGGACAGGTTCTTGCTCGTGGTCCCAGGTAGACTGAACAATATTTACTATTGCCCCTAGTCTAATATATCACATATTAGCCTGATAGCTCCAGGGAGCCGAAGGAGCTCCCCACGGAAATTTGGGTTACTAAGATTTTTAATGAACAAGAGACTTGAATACTGCATGTTAATTTCTGGACATTCCTGCTATAAGTCGGCAATCTCGAATATCAGGTTAACTCAAATGGGGGGAGGGACCCCGTGTGATTTGGATTACCAAGCACAGACAGCACTGTATAAAAAAAATAACTGTTCCTTAAATTGCCTCTTTCCATGTTTATCCAGAATGCCTTTTGAATATTCTGTACATTTGATGGTGCTACATAGTCTCACCCCAGCTTGGTGCCTTCTTTTGATAATTACTTACTACTTTTCATATTTATCCATAAACCTATTACTGCAGTGTAAATTTATTTCAGGAAATGTGGTTTAATGTTTCAACAACAGTGACTTTGGACACAGTACGTCTTCTGCTAACTCAAGACAATGCCTTGAGACATATAGGTCGCCTTTGTCACATGGCAGGTGCCACTATGGGGGAATATCAAGAACTTCTTTCTCAAGTACGTCAACAAAATTTAGACGTCAAACTAATATGGGTCACTGATGAACGCATTAAATAAGTGTTGAAGGTATAGCACAATAGCACAATTATATGCGATTGGTATACTGCAGTGTAAATGTTTAATAGAAACACCACTGTAAATTCACCAAGGGTCCTTTTATTCTTCAAATGTATAAAATGAAAACAATACTTTTCAATAGAGATAACATTTTTAAAGAAGCAGTATAGCTTTTATGACAAATGTATTATAATACTTCCACTCGAATGGAATGCGATTCTTTGAAATGGATTTCCACCGCAAAATACTACTGTATTTGGCTTCAATTCCATCATATATTCTTGTAAAATTTCCAGCAGATACCTTTTTTTTAAACTTAACTTACTGTGATATACTTACTGTACTGTATATACAATGTAACCAAATACAATGAGTGAATAATAAAAAATATTATATGAGTGAATGTTTTTAAAAATAAAATATAAAATATTACAATTGTTTCTATTTACATATATCTAATGTGGCTTATATTATTTATTTTTACAAAGATGAAATTAGTTGGTTGGGCCATGTTTGCATGTTTACTTAATTGGGCTAATCTGGAGTAGGAATGATGTATAGCGGCTGCAGTATTATTCAGTCTGCAGGAGGTAGGAAGAAAATAAACACATTAACTATAAATAATGTTCAGCACTGAATATAATGAAATTCCTCTTTCTGGCAAGTTTCCTCTGTATCTTTCAGAGTTACCCATCTGACGTTCTCTACACCCAGGTACTACACTGGGTTCTATTGAATCACAAGCACCTACCATAGACCAGTTCTAAAATATGGGCCTCGCAATAGAGGCAGTGAAAGTCGGGGTGGGGTACTAGACCACCACAGTAACAATGGGGAAACCTACCAAAAAGGTAGAACACAACAAAATAAGAAACTGTTTGGACAATATTTTCAACCCTGATTTTAACAATGTATGCACTTGTTGTCCAGGTTCAACTACTAGCTAGCTTCACACACCCCACACCAGCAGTTGGCAGCTCCAGTAATCCAGGGGAAGCACCCAACTTAACCATTCACACACCACTCTTAACAAGATGCCCTGACCATCACGGGAAGATGGGAAGGGCAGGAACAGATAGTTACAGAGGGATACAGAGCCCCAAACATAGAAAAGCCTGTAAACAGTGGGAGGAGTAGAATGGGATCCCAAACTTTGACCAAGAAAAACCAGACCCAAAACGCCAATGAGGCACGACCCAGTAATGAGTCGAGGACCTGACCTCGCTGCAGGAATTAAAGTAAGCCTACCCCTGTGCAAAAGCTGGGAAAGGCAAGACAACAGAAACCCATGGAAAATGATCAAGATACTACTAGTACCTGTACCTGGAAATGTACCATTGTATTTCCCACACAGGAACTAGTTACAAAAATGGAGAGAAAAAAAAACTTAAGTGTAATGAAACACTTTCTGTTGTGGAAGGGATCCTTATAGGTTCCCTGTTGCTAGCAGCCTGGATACCTCTACCCAATTCAATTCACATCAGACCCTTGTGAGTCATTATAAGACTACCAGGAACAAGAAGCCCAAACCTGGCACAGGGAGCTGAGGATACGAGATCACTCACACCAAGAAAAGGCAGCAAAACTGTAAAACAAGGCATTACAAAGAACAGCAAGGACAACAACAAAAAAAACAAGATCCTGAAACAATTCACCAGGTCATAAGCTGCTCACTTGCTAATAAACAGCAGCACATCGCCAGGTGGCTGAGCACCTAGCTACTCTATCTCTTCAGCTATCACATCTGTCATTGTGCCAGGAAGATGGAACACCAAAGCCCTTGAAAATGGGAAGAGAAGGTCCAGGGAGCCCCCAAGAATCCATCTGAAGAGGCATTTCATTACATTCAACACTAGTTTTCTGAGAGGGCTCTATGGTGGCTCCTTGCTATGTCACCATGGAAAACAAAATCATAATGGGAGAATTCACCAGTGCCAGAGAAGTGTGACCCCTCATAATAGGGGAAATCAGCAATGAGTTGCCCATTTCAAAGTCACAAGCCCAGCACAGATAAGGCATATTCTCCAGGTACCAAGTTGCTAGTATCTCACTGGACTGCTCTCAAACCTGAACATCAGCTCAGGACATATTTGAAAACACTGTGGACAGAGCATGTACATGTACAAACATGTGCCAACAGTAGACTACAGGCTGGATAAACTCAATGACACCAAGGATGATCCGAGACAAATGGGTCCTGGAATAAGGGACCAGGGACACTTGATCCCCAAAGAGAACATCCCCTGTACACTACATGGGATGTTCCCCTGTAGTGTACAGGGGATGTCACAGAAGTAACAGTAAACAGTCGCATCAAATGATGTACCCCCAGTTGAACCAACAAAGCATCAATCATCAAAGGATACCCCTAAAAACCAGCCATCTCATTATTTGCCAGAAGATGAGAAGGCTGTAAATGAAGAATATAACCCCATAACCAAAAGAACAAAAATCCTGCTTAAGGAGAGCGTGAAGCTCCCCAACCCGATAACCAGAGGCAAGGGCCAACAAAAATAAAGTCCTGTAAAAGCTTGTTTCCTGGTGTCACACAGGTCCAGGGGCACCATCCAGGATTCTGCCTGCAACACCCGGTTGACCTGAGCAGAAAGTCATGGTGGTCATGCAGAAAGTTGTAAAAGGAATTAAATGATTCAAATTCAACAGGTTGAGGATGTATCGCAGGTCCAGCAAGTCTGACACAGGAACCAGGTACAAACCAGACACCCACCACATAGCAGGAATTAACTCGACCACACCTCCATGTTCGATAGATGTTGGCCAGCCCCTGCAGAGGAGCTGAAGCCCTTATAATACTCAGGGTGAAACCCCTCCAGGAGGAGGCAGCCTCAAGCAGACACCTGAACCTCCCAAGAAATGGAACCCTAACCGGGCAGTGGCAATGCCAGCGACTAGAGAAGTAGGTCCAGTCACAAGCAGTAGAAGGAAAAAAGGAACGAAGGATTAAACAAAAGCTAGACTACAACCATGCATGTGAAGCAAAATAAGATTGGAACACAAACACAGGCCCCTGCTAGGCAAAGGCCAAAAGAATAGTTGATTTGAAACCAGGAAAGGTTTAGAGGCATGAGGAGTTCCAATTAAGGTTGCACAAGGTTTTGACTGAAGTGGCACATTGGCTGGAGCCCTGGGTTGCTGGTGCTGTCATCTGGTGACAGGGGATGTAATTTGTGGCTGGCTAACGCAACCCGTCCTCAAACCAAGTCGATTCCATCCAGCGGTTGACCCCAAAGACGCATTCATAAATTTTAACATGCTGTTCATTCAAAACAGGAATTTTTTCAAATATAAATTTATATTATTTCACATTACCATATTGTACATATTTAGGCACTGGTTTGGTTAGGTTACGTGTTTAGGATCTCTTGGCGATTACTTGTATTTGTAGTACGCTGGTGAAGCATTTACAGCATTGTGGTTCGAACAAAATTTGTCAGTGAAGCACTTGTTTGGAAGTGTCCGAACGTCATCAGTTGTATGTAAACTATTTTTCATTCACAAACAGGAATGCATGGATTTGGCGGGTGGATGGAATGGACTTTGGGTCTTTGTTTAGAGGATGGGCTGGGCTAACGAGTGTGTACAACACATAGTCGTCAATGTTTCACCATGTAGTTCCTTGCTTTGTGGCACTCTACCATTCTGGTGATTTTCCTCTTGGCCTGGGTTGTTCTAGTATTCCCAGACTCCCTCGCCTCTAATGAGGCACTCAAAAAAAGATCCATGTTTCGCACTTCTTTATTTTGTAGAAGGCCTGAGAAAGAAAGCAACAACCAAATCTATTTTCTGCTAAACCTAGTAGAGTATTATACATATACAGGCATACCTCAGAATAAGAGTTTAATCCGTTCCTGGAGACGCCTCGCCTTCCGAAAACTCGCATTCCGAAGTTAATTTCCCCATAAGAAATAAAGGGAAATGAATTAATCCGTTCCTGACTACCCCAAAAACCCCACATCAAACTAAATTTTTATACCTAATTTACCTAATTCATCTAAATAAACCTACAAAACTGTGTTCCAGTTATTACTTACCTTGCTGTCGAGTGCTGTAGGCGTATGGAAGATGGTGAGGAGGGGGGAGGAGGAGAGGAGTTACTGTTTGGAAGGGGAGTCCCCTTTCATAATCACATCACATAACCCCATGCCTTGTAACACTATGGATACCACTTCTCTTTCTAAATTTTTCAAACCAGCCCCTGCTTGCCTTAAACTCTTTCTTATCTGCATCACTCGTTGCAGGGGTATTCTTTAGAAGGTCTTCGTGCAACACCCTGGCTTTCTCACAAATAATGGCCTCCGAAACACTATCACCCCTCAACTCCTTGTCGTGTATCCAAATTAATAACAACTTTTCCACTTCTTCAAGTATTTGTGGTCTTTGTGCCGTTAATGTTCTTACTCCTTTTGCCACTTTAGCACCCATAATCTTATTTTTCTTCTTAAGTATAGTGCATATTGTTGATGTGGCTTTGTTGTACTGCCTACAAAGTTCAACAACACGTGTACCGTTCTCATGCTTCCGAATGATCTCTTGTTTCTCCTCTATTGTCATCCTCACATGAGCTTTCTGGCCTTTATCCTTACCACTGGCTTTCTTGGGACCCATGGTGAGATATATAATAACAAATTGTATAGACAAATCACCAAAAATCCAACAAAACACTGAAAATACGCGAGAAGAATTGATGTGGGGGTAGTCACTGAGCGCGAGACAATAATAAACTGAGGGGCGGCGGGGCGGAGGGGCGACGAACGCGCTAGGTCGGCTGTACGCGTATCAACAAACTCGTGTCCAAACTCGCCTCCCGAAGTAACCCTCGCCTTCTGAGACAAATTTTTGGAGTAAATACACCTCGCCTTCCGAAAACCTCGCATACAGGGACAATCGCATTCCGAGGTACCACTGTATGTACTAAATTAGGCATAAGAATGTTTTATAGACCTAGAATTGCCTACTTAAACCTAGGTTTATACTTACCCTGTTCCACTTTTTGGTATGCCCTTCAGTATTTCAATACTGTAGTACAAAATGAACTTTTTCAGAGTACAACAATCCAAATTTTGTACATGCCACTAATGCATTAAGTGATATATTCTATCACTTTGAGAGGATGGGTTGAAGGAAATAATGACGTAGGCAAGAACTGATGCTGATGGCTAAGAATTGAGAACTGTGCTCATTCATGACAACTCCTGGTTAGCAATAATTGAATTATGAAAATGAAGGACAAGTGCTACATCACTAATGAATTTTATCTTGCAATCATGCAAATCTTCATCTAGATACAGGGATACATATGTTAACAATGATATTGGAAATAAGACCTCCAACTCTTAGCCCACATAGCTCACATTCAGAACCCAGTGAGTCACAGCAATGGCTTTCTTAAATAAAATGAAGAAGTCTGTTATACACCAGAGTTTGTACTTCTTCCAGGCTGTGAACTTACATAGGAGAGCATGGGGAACAATTTGAACTCGACTAAGAAAAGCACTCCCTCGGAGCTGCCGGAGGCATAATGTGGGATGGATCATAGGGCAGCAATAAGGAAGGTTATCTGAAAGATAAGAAAGAGATCGAGGAACAGGAAAATGTGACACGCAGTGAACAGAGGTGAAGGATGTAAAAAGTTCTAAGTCTGCTCTGTCAAAATGCCATAGGAAAATGGAGAAGTATAGTAAAAAAAAAGACTTTGGGACAAGGTAATGGGGAAATTTCATTGTTATGGAGGTCATCAAGGACCTACCAATCCAAACTCAAAATAAATGGAAGTATAGAAAGACATTAATACAAGACGAAACATGAGTGCGAGTCTACACGAGTTGGTTTGCCAATATTTAAAAGTGCAAGAAATCAAGTATTGTACTGATACAAGTTTCTCTCCATGTAAAATTCAATAAGTCACACTCTGCTGCCTGAAATATACTAGCAAAACATTTGTAATGTATCTTAATCTTGAACTGAAAAGCAATATGAGTATTAATGCTTACATATAGATCAGGCAACAGAAAGTAAAGTTGATGAGCATATAAATAATTAAATTTACTTTTCTAAAATAATATCTAGGTCTGCAAATACAGTACTTACATGTAAGTAAAGATCCTACATGTTTCTGATACATGTCCTTCAGTAGCTTCTGCTCTCTTATTTTAACACCACCAGAACTGATCTTGAGCTCGTACATCTTTTTCTTAAATCTATTGCAAGTGAAAATTTTACAATAATCTTTACAGGAAGAACGAAATGAATTTGGCAAACCTATTGAGCATGCACATGCTGAAAATGATTCTGTAGTTTCCATTCTTTCTTTTCAGCTTAAAAAAGTTTACACCTGATAAAGGGGACTATAACACATTCAGATGTAATTTTTCTTTGGTAGTTATGAATTTCTAATTGCTTTCAGATATGGATAGTTCTTAAAATCTTGAACATGATAGTAACCACCCACATCATTTAGAAATACAAATTTAATTATAATTATTGCAAATTATAATTTATTAATAATTAGCACCTATTTAACTAAGAATGAGGTATATAAATGAGAAATTCATTTTAAATAGTACTGTAACATACTTTGCCAATACTGTAGTTATAAAATGTGTTTTTGGGAAACTTTAATTGTATTATATGTAAAGAATACATATGAAGTATTTTGTTTAAAATACATTATATTAAATTACAGACACTATTCATTATTATGAAAATTAACATTTCAGACAATTCAGGAAGGAGTCACAAGCCAGCTATCTTGTGACAAGCTTATAATAAACTGCTTGTAAGCAAGCACAGACCTAAGTCACTGAAGCCATGTCATAAAATAATGAAGTACTGTACTACTGTAGTTATAAACCTTCACTGTATTTATAGAAATTTAAGAAAATTGAACTTAACTGACAGAATAGATAGATTGCAAGATTAACAGCTAGATATAACTAAATCCATTACTTGTCAACATTACATAAATCAGTACACAGTCCATGTAAGTTGCTTCATCCTCCATGCCTTGTATTCATCCACTAGTTCTCGGGAACGATCTGGAAAGAGACATGCAAGTACAGTAACATACACAATTCGGTATCTGAAAATTCATCATCAGTTAGGTGGGTATTTATCCACTGCACTGCGCAAAGCATCTTAAGGCACTCTGAGGGTTGTGCGATTTTATTTTAATTAGGCCATATTTTAAAGTTTTCTAATGTTTTCATCAATCTGTGATTTGAAATGAAAATGATTGAGTTTGGAAACCATTTGACATTAACATTAGCTGAACATTTATAAAGGTTCATTTATAAAGAAAAATATGACCTTAACAGCTGCAACATGAAATTTTTGCCAAAAACAGGTGCACAGTGCAGGGGTTAATATAAAACTTCACTACAACAAGGAATTTGTTAACTTCATTTTTTTTTTTACAAACATTTTAGGCCACATTCACTAATGATGACACCTTCCAAACATTCTGCAACACTTGCAGCACCCTCACATGTTCATGTGAAGAAATGAAAGGTAATGTTTATCCTCATCTATGTCATCAGCTTATTACGGTACATTTTTGTGATTTGGAAGTGGCATGAATATAATACAGTACTTTGTAATAATGTTCAAGCAGGTGTTTTATTATGGCTGGGAAGTAGCTGTGTGCTTAGTACCCAATGAACCAGAAAGTATGTGTCAAATTTTCCTGTTTGTGTGTGATCCTGTTCTTTAGAGAGCAGGGAGTTGCCTAAGAAAGCATCAGAGTGGTCTACTCAGAAATTAATGTTTTATCTATACTCAAAGCCTTTTTATTTCTTTCACTCAAATATACATATAACTATAAGATAGAGAAGGGTTTGTTTAAACCTGTGAAGAATTTGGGATGGAGTGGTTTTGTATAACACTTTGACAAGTGATTCTGGCTTCACTGTTCAATAAAAAGTAAAATGATTTTACGAAAATTGGATGGTACACATTTAAGGACACAAGGTGTCCTTATGTCCTTAAAAGTACCTTAAACAGGTACAGGAAATACTGTAAATGAAAACTGTAGAATTGACTCACCTGATAATCTTGGGCAATGATGGAAACACAGAATATTAAGATGAGTACAACAGTGACAAATTGATTCAATACTATCATCAGTGAGACGTGCACACCCATCAATACGCAGTTCTCGCAGACTATGACCAACTCCTCCGCTGACTAACTGCTGAATCCCCAAGTCACTAATCTAAAAAGAAACCCAAATTAATAAAACTGATAAATAATTAGTGCAAGGAAATATTCATGTAGTTGATACTCTACTATTTCTTCATAATGAAGCCAAAAATCAGGGTAGAATGTAATGAGGAGCCAGTTTCTGGGTGAAACCCGGAGGCTCCCCGTAGCTAACCGGGCTGATATGAATGTACAGCTGTATTAGACCCTGGCATCAGTCAATGCGCATGGAGTCCCTCAGGCCTACCGGGGACCACAAGCCACAACCTGGCCCCCTCAGAGAGGCATAAGGAGCAATGGCCTATAGAAACCCCCCGTGTGGTTGGAAGCATTCTATGTTTGCCCTCAACCTGGTCAGGCACCCAGAAAGGTAAACGCCCCAAAACAAACCCCTATTCTGGTTAAAATATTGCTACTGAAAGCCAAACTAGTGGACACAAGTCCAGAAATGAAAATGAGCAAACGAGCATGACATCACTGCACCGCTGTCTGTGCAACCCACCGCCCCTGGAGGAGGAAGGGGAGCCCCAGACCCCCGCGCCGGCTATCCACCCTACAGTTCTGAGGTTGGATGTCAAAACCACAAAAAAAATGCCAACCAGAGGCAGGGAGAGATGCCATGGAGCCTCCGGGTCTCACTCGGAAACTGCTGTTTTATTACATTCAACACTGGTTTTCAGCAGGGGGAGCCTTTTTGGCTCCCCAGAGCTACTCTTAAGATTATCTTGAGAAGATTTCAGGGCTTAGCAGCCCTGCGGCCCAGTCCTCGACCAGGTCTCCTTTTTGTTACACACCCCCAGGAAGCAGCCTGTAGCAGCTGTCTGACTCCCAGGTACCTATTTACTGCTGGGTAACAGGGGCATCAGGGTGAAAGAAACTCTGCCCATTTGTTGGGATGGAGGGAAGGAATGGTGCCCAACCACTTGGAAGATCGGGGATTAAACGTTGACCTGCATGAAGCAAGACCATCGCTCTACCGTCCATCCATAATTGCAGGCCATTAGTACAAGATAACCTCATTACATAGTAAGCAAGTGAAAGCGATAGCAGAAAATTTCTCATGGGTCTTAGTTAACATTCATATAGATGTAGAATACTAAAGCTGGTACGAACTATGGAGAAAGGCCATTTCATTCCATAAAGGTTTTCGTTCAACCTGTCTGACCCCAGGCAACCCCTCCAACCTCCATTAAAAAAATTATTCAATTCACCTACATTCACTATAATGCATATAAAAATATTTGTGACTTACCTTAACAGGAGAGCAGTGTAGTATGAAATATTTATATAGTAGTTTAAAGTATGTAAAAGAGCTATTCATGGATTTCAACTTTCAAAAGTACTATACTGTACAAGTAATTGTCAACCCCTATTCCTAAGTTTCAGCCCTAAAGACTACAGTATCTGAAAGACTAGACAAACACGCAAGTATATATATATGGTACCTAAGCTAACTGTGGACACCTGTATGGTACACATATATCTATGCTGTACTTTTTTCAATCAAACATTCAATATTAGTAAATACCTGTGTTTTACCAATATTTAAGCTGACTAGTTGCGTTAAAGTTGCAAGAGCAGTGAGAGCATGGTTTGTGATAGTTGTTGATGAGATATGTAACTCCTGCAGCTGAGGACAGCCTCCCACCAATGATCCAATGACACGATCAGTCACTCCAGAAAGGCCATTGAGAGCCACTACTCTTAGCTTTGGCTTTCCTTCCCCAAGTCGAATAAGTGCTGAAAAAAAAAAACAGTGTTGAATGTAATGAAACGCCATTTTCTGGTCGAGTCCCAGAGACTCCCCGGAGCTGTCCAGCCTGAATGGATATGTATAATTTTCTGGCATCAGTCTATGTGCATGGAGTTCTTGCCTACCGGGGACCACGAGCCAGAACCTGGCCCTATCAGAGAGGCGTTAGGAGCAATGGCCTATAGAAACCCCCGTGTGGTTGCGAGCATTCTATGTCTGCCATCGACCGGGTCTGACACCCAGATGTGTCCCAAAACAAACTCCTATTCTGGTGAAACTATTGCTACCGAAAGCCAAACGAGTGGACAGAACTCCCCAAATAAAAACTAGCAAACTAGCATAAGACGTCATCACGTTGCCGCGCCGCCGTCTGCGGCACGAAGTGAGGTGAAGAAGAACCCCTCTCCTTGTTACATCAGGCCCCGCCCCAAGGTCCAGGTCCAGGCAAGGCCCAAGGCCCCCAAGTCAACTTCTCCCTCGCCCCGGGAACCTCATTCCAAGGACACAGAGCCAAGCCGTTCCCCCAAAGCCCGACCCTCACAAGAAAAAGCCGGGGCAGCCGAAAAAACTAAGGAAGGGGGGCCAGTGGTCAGACCCATACGCATTGGCAGGAGAAACAGGCTCAAATGCCTCTGCCGCCACCCTGGAAAAGGACACCCCCGAAACTGCCCAAGCAATTGGGCGGTTTCGGTAGCAATCTTCTCACCAGAATAGGGGTTTGATTGGTGTGCCTACCTTTCTGGGTGCCAGACTCAGTCGATGGCAAACATAAAATGCTTCCAACCACATGGGGGTTTCTATAGGCCATTGCTCCTCATTGCCTCTCTGAGAGGGCCAGGTTGTGGCTTGTGATCCCCAGTAGGCATGAACTCTATGCACTTTGACTGATGCCAGAAAGCTAATAGTTACATATCAGCCTGGATATCTCCGGGAGCCGACAAGACTCCCCCCAGAAAACATCAAAATAAAGTAAAGGTACCCTTGCATAACACCTGTTACTGGGATAATTAAAATCACTTAGCTGTAAATTCAGAGCATAATAATGTGCTCTATTGCACATTATTATGCTCTACGTACATAATAATGTGCTCTAAGTGTTCGCACTTAGCAGAGCAACCTTAGCAAACACCAGGGGAGCTCAGGAAGCTACTTATGACTGCCCTTCTAAAACAATAGTTAAGATGTAATCTATTATTTAAGCATACCATACAACTGGACAGAACATTAGAGAACAACACAATGAGTTAGTAATACTGTACTATGTGATACTTACAGTTTTCTGAAAAATTATTATTATCAACAACAGGAGGCTCAGGCAAATGCAAAACCTTCAAACTCTTAGCCACCTCAAGACTGTCTAGTGCAGCATCAGATATTATGCAATCATGTAGATCTGAAAACAGAGTCAGACACTGTAGATTTTTTATTTTATCTTTTAATCATCATCATCATTATTATTATTTTTTGACCAAACCACACACTAGAAAGTGAAGGGACAACGACGTTTTGGTCCGTCCTGGACCATTCTCAAGTCAATTGTGAATCACAATCGATTTGAGAATGGTCCAGGACAGACCGAAATGTCGTCGTCCCTTCACTTTCTAGTGTGTGGTTTGGTCAACATATTTCAGCCACATTATTGCGACTCCTCGTCTGCATTATTATTACCCCATTTCTTGCTTTCATGGAGAGAGGAGGGGGGGGGCATCGGCCTGGCAGAAATAGAAATACAAAAGATTGCAAATAGTCTGTATTCAAAAAGATATCCCATTCATTATACATATCTTCTGCACTCCTTACAGCCTCACCTGGAATTAGAACCTCACTGCTTCATATACCAATGTGTTAAGTGCTTTGTGTGTATTGTCACTTAAATAATAATCAGCATTGAATGTAATGAAAAGACAATTTCTAGTAGAGCCCCTGGTGGCTCCCTGAAGCTATCTCACCAAGATGTCTCCCCCACTACTGGGTCACATGTCTCTGGAGTTGTGTTTGGTCAACTAGAAACCAGAGCTAGAACCTGCCCCCGCCTCCCCCACCTCACAGAGGCACAAGGAGCAGAGCCCAAATATCCACCACAGCCCGGTTGGTCCAGCACTCCTTGGAGGAAACAATCTAGTTTTCTCTTGAAGATGTCCACGGTTGTTCCGGCAATATTTCTTATGCTCGCTGGGAGGGTGTTGAACAACCGCGGACCTCTGATGTTTATACAGTGTTCTCTGTGCCTATGGCACCCCTGCTCTTCACTGGTTCTATTCTGCATTTTCTTCCATTTCGTTCACACCAGTACGTTGTTATTTTACTGTGTAGATTTGGTACTTGGCCCTCCAGTATCTTCCACATGAATATTATTTTATATCTCTCTCGTCTTCTTTCTAGCGAGTACATTTGGAGGGCTTTGAGACGATCCCAATAATTTAGGTGCTTTGTCGCGTCTATGCATACCGTATATGTTCTCTGTATTCCCTCTATTTCAGCAATCTCTCCTGCTCTGAAGGGGGAAGTGAGTACTGAGCAGTACTCAAGATGGAACAACACAAGTGACTTGAAGAGTACAACCATTGTGATGGGATCCCTGGATTTGAAAGTTCTCATAATCCATCCGATCATTTTTCTGGCTGACGCAATACTTGCTTGGTTATGCTCCCTAAACTTTAGGTCGTCAGACATCATTATTTCCAAATCCTTTACATGCTGTTTTCCTACTATGGGCACATCTGATTGTGTTTTGTACCCTGTATTATGTTTAAGGTCCTCATTTTTACCGTACCTGAGTACCTTGAATTTATCACTGTTAAACATCATGTTATTTTCTGTTGCCCAGTCAAAAACTTTATTAATATCTGCTTGAAGTTTTTCAATGCGCCTCCCCCAACTCCGGGAACCTCCACACCAGGACCCGAGGCCGAATCGTCCTCCAAAGCCCCCCGGCTTCAAAAGAAAAACCCGGGGCAGTCATAAAAACACTAATGAAGGACTGGTCAGACCCATACGCAATGGCTGGAGGAATCGACTTGAATGCCCCCATTGCCACCCCGGAAGGGGCATCCCCCGAAACTGCCCGAGTCTCAGAATACTCTAAACCCCGCACCAACCCCAAACCCTTAGACACTCCGAAGCCGGAAATAAGGGGAATGGGGGGAAACCAGAATGAACCACAGCAGGGGAAGAACGAGAGTGCAGACCGAACCAAGGCTGAAGCGACCAACACCCCCAAGTCCGGGTCCCTGTAAGCAAAGCGGGGCAGCCTTGGGGTATCCGGGGTAGCAATCAACCTAGCACATTGCAGCAACTTAAACCTAGCATGTAAAGCCTGAGTCGCATGCACCCGGATAATATCAACAGTGGATTGGGTGAATGGAGTCACAAACAAGTAACATTGTTTGCAGGACTCTGGGTCGAAGGTATCACCAACCCAACAGGCAGCCGACAGAGGCCAAAAACAATGAGCGTCGCCCTGAGACAAGGGGGACAGAGCAACCCTCAAATTCGCACAAGGCGAGAGGGGACCCAGGGGTTGCATCCATTGGACCCCTTGCACCCCCGCGGGATTTCCCAGGGCCCTTAGACTGTTATCGCTAAGGGTACCCAGGCAGAGTACTGCTAACCGGCGCCCAAGTCTATCAATCAAACTGCTAAAAACTGAACCCCGGGGACGTGTCCACTCACGGGGCCAAGCAGGGGGTACCACCAAACACAGGAGGTCAAGACCCCTAATATAACAGGAGGCAGGGGAACAAAAGCAAACCCCCCATGAGGCACAAACAAAAATGAAAAGAAAAACCCTGTAAGAGGACAATGTACCCAGAAGGAACAGAGCTGGCCGCTGTAATAGGTGAAAACTAGCTGCGCATGCGCAGGACCCCATGCCCCTACCAGTGCAAAAACTACCATTTACCCCAAGGTAAACAAGGGAGGAGGAAACCCCACAACACTCCTAGGGCGATCAATTACTAAGCAGCAAAAGACCAACAGAAGTAGACCCAAAGGTGACATGTGGAAGATAACCCCAAGCCCCCAAGGGCAGTACTTACAGGGCACTCAGGGAAGGGAACACTAAGCACATGCAGCCAGAGTACCTGTAAATATTACTCCCAGCTCACATGCCACCATAAGAGCAGTACTGGACAAAATCCACAGCACAACACAGAGAGAATCAGAAGCTGGAGCCTCATCACATCAGTCGAGAACTGACAGGTGGATAGCTGGCGCGAGGGGTCTGGGGCTTCCCCTTCCCCCTCCTGGGAAGGGGGTAGCAGCGCAGACAAGTGGGGTGGCAAGAGTGATGTCATGCTCGTTTTTTAATTGGGGAGTTCTGTCCACTCGTTAGCTTTCAGTAGTAGTTTTAACCAGAATAGGAGTTTGTTTTGAGGCACTTACCTTTCTGTGTGCCCAGCCCGGTCGATGGCAGATATAGAATGCTTCAAACACATGTGCACTTCTATAGACAATTGTTCCTCGTGACTCTCTGATGGGGCCAGGTTCTGGCTTGTGGTCCCCGGTAGGTCTAGAACTCCATTCACACTAACTGATGCCAAAGTCTAATAATATACATATCAGCCTGGATAGCTCTAGGGAGCCAAAGGGGCTCCCTCCCCCAAAAAAGCACAAAAGTACAAAGTCCCCGGAGAAAACTGAAACACGGCCGCTGCGTAGGTAGTCAAGCTGCACAACACCTTGTGCCCAACCAGCAACACCACCACTTCCTACCCAAGGCCCAACAACGGCCACAAATCCCCAGCTGGCCCCAAAGGCGGAGTAAATGCCGAGCAGTAAGAACCCCTATGGAAGTGGAGTCCCAAAGGCACTATAGAAGAAAACCCAGCAAGGCACTCAGGGGTAGTACAATAGGATGCTTAGGGAAGTCAGCCCTAAGATAATGTGGCCCCCAGTAAACTGATGTTACACCTGGCCACCACCACCACAACACAGCAGGAAACACCACTAAGGTAAAACACTGCTAAGAAATTGAGGCCAGAGTTTCCCCTCCCCCTCCCAGGAAGGGGAGGGCTGCACTGACAAGTGGCATGGTGGCAGTGTATGATGTTGGCTTGTTTCCTTGAGAATTGGGGGAGTTCTGCCTCCCTGTTCGGACCTCAGTTGCACTTTTCTTACCAAGTGGGGGAGTGTTTCGTTATGCCTACCTTCATGGGTGCCTAATCCAAGTCTATGACCGATAAGGAATGCCCACAACCACAGGGGGGTTTTCCAAAGGTCATTGCTCCTTGTGCTTCTCTGAGGGGGCTAGGTTTTGTGATCCCTGGTAGACTGAACTCCACTGACTAATGCCCTAGACTAATAATATAATGCATATTTGCCCTATAACTCCAGGGAGCCGAAGGGGCTCCCCACAGAAAATACATTTATTAAAACATTCTTCATTTTTTTTATACTGTATATGCAATAGAGCAATCATTGTGAACACTTTGGAATCAAATTTATAAATTTATGGCCTTTCTTTTGAGGCAAATCCTTAAAATGATTATGAAGATCACATTAACAGTACACTCCTCCACAGCTTCCATCAACACTAGCCACTTGGTAGACTCATGTTTGCCCACCCCAAAACTTGCATCTGAATTGTAAACCCAACTACAGCCTAAATTCATATAAATCCAGATCTACACAAATTCACATAAACACCGACATTTTGTTTCAATAGTGGACAATTTAAACTGAACAAGAACATACTCAGAAGAAGCTGGATTTGGGTTACATTGAGGCTCATCCAAGCTGTTCAAAATCATTTCAAAGCAATATGAGCACTGGGCAAAATCATCCTCTGATGTGAGCAGTTTAGGGGTTAACTAAAAATCAAATGCATATTATATAATGGATTTCCTCTTACCAAGCTCAGTCACACGAGAATGAAGCAGCCATGAAAAAATGGAATCATTACATTTTCCTCTTCTGGTTAATTTCTTTATTAGTTGGTCTTTTAAGGTCCATGGCAGCCTCGAGTAGGATTCTGTTGGGATCAAACATGCTTCATCCAAACATCTGTAGAAAGAAATTACACAATAAACTAAATACTTTATCAGTATATAACATGTTTACTATGTTCTATATGAGATAAACTCGACACTACAGACACGCCTCTAAAATGTGGGTTGTATTGTTCTGGACCCAATCCTGATGTGCATGACATCCGGATTTCCAGAAATCTGCCCAATTTGGGCAATTTATAACCAAACTTTTTATATCTTTTCATTTTCAGTCCAGTAAAACTCAAAATGAATACAAACCATAGAATTTTGTTTTATCCCTTAAACTGAGCAAAACATACATGTAGGGAGTAACTGTCACGAAATGATGCAAATCATACACAGTACTGTATATATGATTTGCATATTTAAAATAGTCCTGCACATACATACAGCTCACATTTGCTTCCTCAGATCACCAGTAACCATCCCCATCTTGAAAAAAAATCCTGAGTCCCTCACTTTCCTTCTAGGGCCTTAGTAAAAAAATGATGACCATTCCTTGGCAACATCACCATCCAGCAGGAATACAGTGGGGAACACAGCCTTAAACGTTCGTTTAGGGCAGCCATAGAGGAGACACTAAACTTTTAGCAACAGCAAATGAGTGATTACCATGTATATATTTAAGGCAAAATGTGTGCTAAATGCAATTTTAAGATTTAGGCTTATAAAATATATATTATACAATATATTATATTATATATATTATATATATATATATATATATATATATATATATATATATATATATATATATATATATATATATATATTATATATATATATATATATATATACACACACACACACATATACATACATATATTATTATGAATAAGTATGTGGGTGTCAGTATATCTATACTGAACTCGTATATCCATACATACTTATATTTTCAAAGTTATACATAATAGACAGTACCTTTAACATACAAATACTACCTGTTAGCATGAAATTAAATAAAGTGAGAATGAAAATAAATCAACAAAGTTATTCCTATGCGGCACCTCAATTCATTTTACCTAAAAATATGCCACTTCTCCAGACCACTACAGCTAAACCACAAGAGTTAGAGACTTTTTATTTGGATTTTTGTGCTTCCTGAAGGCTAATTAACAATGTCATAAGAAAAAATAATTTTTCAGAACATTTTCTTGGGCACACTGGGGATGTCAGCTAATTAACAGTTAGCTGTTTAAGGGTTAAATATGCTCTATGGCTTTCCCAAGGCACCAAATATTTCTCAAAATTTTACCATTAAATGCATGATCAGACCCATGTTAAAAGTTACCATTCCTAACCCATATTTCCCACGCTCTCTAGGCAAATTTCTCTGAGCAAAATTTTAATTTCAACTTCTGATATGTTGGACAACTACCAGAAGAACCTGTGTGTAAAGACGTTTCACTACTTGTAGCTTATTTCCATGCCCCAGCCATGAACTTGATGTATAAATATAATCAATGGCTTTTCCAAGATTCCAACTGTTTCTCCTAATGTTACGTCCATCTACAAAATTCATTATAAACGTGACTGGAGCCATATTAAAGTCTTAAGGGAGTCACCATTCACACCTTAATATTTCCCAAGCTCTGTAGAAAAATTTCAATGAGCAAAATTAAACTTTTATCTTATCATAGTACTGAACAATTACCAGAAGAACCATACAGAGAGATTTCTTCCTTATTGCCAGCATATTTCTCAGGATGCAGCAGTCTCTTCAGTTTTTGTGTGTTTTTTTCAAAAAGTAGGACAATGACACCAAATGAACCAAACCCCTGACTTTAGCTTCCACACTCAAAACTCTTTATTTAGCTAAATATTTTTTACAACAAATCGTAGGAACTTGTTATAATAATTTCCTTGCCTAATGATGTGGATTTTACTGGAGCCTCTTCTAGAATCCTGATTTTTTTTTTTAACTTGAAACTTTGAGGGAAGATCTGATGGCCAAATTTGGCCTGTTGTTTAGAGGTATCTATTAGGAGGGAAGTACACATTTCTGAGGTGCCACTGTATATACAGATTAGTTATTGACATACAAACAGGAAGTAATCCAGTAGAAAGTTATCAGAGCCCACAAAAGGGATTGAATAACACAATGCAGTGTAGAGAAAGGCAAAGTGCAGACATTATTTATAAACGAAGCTTTGCCTATAAATACCTTCTCAAATATAGCAGATACACACAAGAATAGTGCTTAGGCAGGGTTAAAATGGGGAGGAGGATGGCTCCACTTCCTTTGGCCCAAAAAATTTTTTTTTGTTTTTGGCCAAAAACTCAGATACTGTACTGGAAAAAAAGGCCAGTATCTGGGGTTTATTCCTACTACTGTTTCTTCTCTCCTCTAATGTACTCACCTATGAGAGGCCTTATCTGTGAGGCCTCTCAATACTGGTACTAATCTAGTTGGAAACCATTGAATTTCTCAGGTTTCTGTTTATGCTCACCAGGTGTGGGTTCCAATGCTAGAGCTACATACTCATGTAATGGTCTTAGATAAGCAGTGTTTATATAATTGAAAGCCTCCTTATGCTAACTTCCCATATGTTACTGATGTCATCCTGTTCACATGAGTTTCTGATGTTAGTGTTGGATTATGTCTACTCCAGAGTCTTTTTCTCTTATTGTTTCTCATAATTGCCATCCTCCTAAATCTTATATCCCTTACCCATTTTCAATACTTTGCACTTATTTGGATTGAATTTCAGCACTCCCATTTATTTGCCCACTCCTGAAGTTTGTTAAGGGCTGCTCGCAGCACCCTACAGTGCTCATCAGTGCTTACCCTCCTCATTAACTTTGCATCATCTGTGAGAATGGGTTTCAGTGACCTGGTGCATTAGCCAAGGCTTCATCTTCAGGAGCTACTGGAGAATCCCTCCCAGAAAGGCATCTAAATACTGAAGATGAATTAGAAAAATTTCTTTTAATAATCACATTTTAAATTTTTAGATTTATTCAAAAATCTACTTTTTATATAAGCAAAAGTGATCGTTGTAGTTAATATTCTTGCTCCATTGTAGTCCAATGGGGGGAAAAAAGAAAGTTTATTTTTATATAAAATAATTCATGGTTGAGTAATAATGAAATGCATGCAAAGAAATTTTGGTAAGCAGCACAGGAATAATAGGCTGGGTTTATAGTGTTAAAATATAGGAAAGTAATAATTACCTGTACAGTATTGTTAAATTTCTTTAAACAACAATGCTACTGTATATAAAATAGTGTACTCACATTTCTTGAAGTGTTTGAGGTTGCATAATGGGGACAGGTTCAGTGGCTCTGAATACCGAGTTTACTTCAGAATAGTAGAGTAGGCTCCAAACCTAGCCCACATCCTCTGTAAATAAGAGTATTGAATTAAAAAAAAGCATTGTTAATGTATGTGTAACTGCCTAATTACTAAATGAGAGCTAAGCTTAAGATGTCTTGTTTTCCCCCAAATCTTTGTCAAGTAAACTTTTGAAGCTTCCAATGGTGTTGGCCCATACTAAACACAGTTAATTTATTCCATCTGTTTCCACTCAGTTTGATATAGAGATTTTTTGACAGTTCTGTTTCCTAATTTGCTGGTTTCAAAAATGCCCATCATAATTTTGTATGTGTGTGTGAATTGTATTTACCTATCTGTAAATACAGAAAGAGCACTGCAGTATGCTCATGGTATCCAATTTTCTTCATGAATTTTATCAAATGTAGTCTTAAAACTAGCTATGTATACAGCATTAGGCACATGCAGATATTTCCTATAGGTTGTTCCATCACCCCAATTACAGGTATTCTATTGCTGAAGAATAGTAGTATTCTATATACTGTACACCAATATTTCTTGATCCTATATATCACTGTCCCCTCAGTCTATTTAGAGCAGGCAATAAAGTCTTAATGATCATCTTTCTCAACCCCTCATTATTTTGTACATGATCATGCCCCCATGCTTTGTGCTACCTTCCAAGTTGGGCAGCTTTGTGATATCTAATCTCTCTCTTCATAGGTCAATTCTTACAGTTACAGGATCCATTTTACTGCATCCATGAAGTAACTTTCACAGACCAGGCAGTTCAGATACTTAGTATATTAGTATATACAAACATAGATGGAGTAAGATCTGTACCTCACTGCAGACCACTGTGCCACAATATACCTATATACCTCACTGCAGACCATAGCCACTGCAGACCACAGCCACAACAGACCACTGTGCCACAATATACCTCTGTACCTCACTGCAGACCACAGCCACAACAGACCACTGTGCCACAATAGACCTCTGTACCTCACTGCAGACCACAGCCACAATAGACCACTGTGCCACAATATACCTCTGTACCTCACTGCAGGCCACAGCCACAACAGACCACTGTGCCACAATATACCTCTGTACCTCACTGCAGGCCACAGCCACAACAGACCACTGTGCCACAATAGACCTCTGTACCTCACTGCAGGCCACAGCCACAACAGACCACTGTGCCACAATAGACCTCTGTACCTCACTGCAGGCCACAGCCACAACAGACCACTGTGCCACAATAGACCTCTGTACCTCACTGCAGGCCACAGCCACAACAGACCACTGTGCCACACTATGCAGACTACTGTGACAAAATAGATCTCTGAACTCCACTGTACAGACCAGAAGCACATCAGACGTCTGTACCACACACACTGGACCCGCCACTGTGCCACACACCCTGGGCCTGCAACTGTGCCACACACCCTGGGCCCGCCACTGTGCCACACACCCTGGGCCCGTCACTGTGCCACACACCCTGGGCCCACCACTGTGCCACACACCCTGGGCCCGCCCCTGTGCCACACACCCTGGGCCCGCCACTGTGCCACACACCCTGGGCCCGCCACTGTGCCACACACCTTGGGCCCGCCCCTGTGCCACACACCCTGGGCCCGTCACTGTGCCACACACCCTGGGCCCGCCACTGTGCCACACACCCAGGGCCCGCCCCTGTGCCACACACCCTGGGCCCGCCACTGTGCCACACACCCTGGGCCCGCCACTGTGCCACACACCCTGGGCGCGCCACTGTGCCACAGACCCTGGGCGCGCCACTGTGCCACACACCCTGGGCGCGCCACTGTGCCACACACCCAGGGCGCGCCACTGTGCCACACACCCAGGGCGCGCCACTGTGCCACACACCCTGGGCGCGCCACTGTGCCACACACCCTGGGCGCGCCACTGTGCCACACACCCTGGGCGCGCCACTGTGCCACACACCCTGGGCGCGCCACTGTGCCACACACCCTGGGCGCGCCACTGTGCCACACACCCTGGGCGCGCCACTGTGCCACACACCCTGGGCGCGCCACTGTGCCACACACCCTGGGCGCGCCACTGTGCCACACACCCTGGGCGCGCCACTGTGCCACACACCCTGGGCGCGCCACTGTGCCACACACCCTGGGCGCGCCACTGTGCCACACACCCTGGGCGCGCCACTGTGCCCCACACCCTGGGCGCGCCACTGTGCCCCACACCCTGGGCGCGCCACTGTGCCCCACACCCTGGGCGCGCCACTGTGCCACACACCCTGGGCGCGCCACTGTGCCACACACCCTGGGCGCGCCACTGTGCCACACACCCTGGGCGCGCCACTGTGCCACACACCCTGGGCGCGCCACTGTGCCACACACCCTGGGCGCGCCACTGTGCCACACACCCTGGGCGCGCCACTGTGCCACACACCCTGGGCGCGCCACTGTGCCACACACCCTGGGCGCGCCACTGTGCCACACACCCTGGGCGCGCCACTGTGCCACACACCCTGGGCGCGCCACTGTGCCACACACCCTGGGCGCGCCACTGTGCCACACACCCTGGGCGCGCCACTGTGCCACACACCCTGGGCGCGCCACTGTGCCACACACCCTGGGCGCGCCACTGTGCCACACACCCTGGGCGCGCCACTGTGCCACACACCCTGGGCGCGCCACTGTGCCACACACCCTGGGCGCGCCACTGTGCCACACACCCTGGGCGCGCCACTGTGCCACACACCCTGGGCGCGCCACTGTGCCACACACCCTGGGCGCGCCACTGTGCCACACACCCTGGGCGCGCCACTGTGCCACACACCCTGGGCGCGCCACTGTGCCACACACCCTGGGCGCGCCACTGTGCCACACACCCTGGGAGCGCCACTGTGCCACACACCCTGGGCGCGCCACTGTGCCACACACCCTGGGCGCGCCACTGTGCCACACACCCTGGGCGCGCCACTGTGCCACACACCCTGGGCGCACCACTGTGTCACACACCCTGGGCGTGCCACTGTGCCACACACCCTGGGCGCGCCACTGTGCCACACACCCTGGGCGCGCCACTGTGCCACACACCCTGGGCGCGCCACGGTGCCACACACCCTGGGCACGCCACGGTGCCACACACCCTGGGCGCGCCACTGTGCCACACACCCTGGGCACGCCACTGTGCCACACACCCTGGGCGCGCCACTGTGCCACACCCTGGGCACACCACTTGTGCCACACACCCTGGGCACGCTACTGTGCCACACACCCTGGGCACGCCACTGTGCCACGCTGGGCACGCCACTGTGCCACACTGGGCACACCACTGTGCCACACTGGGCACACCACTGTGCCACACTGAGCACACCACTGTGCCACACTGGGCACACCACTGTGCCACACTGAGCACACCACTGTGCCACACTGGGCACACCACTGTGCCACGCTGGGCACACCACTGTGCCACGCTGGGCACACCACTGTGCCATGTTGGGTACACCACTGTGCCACACTGGGTACACCACTGTGCCACACTGGGTACACCACTGTGCCACACTGGGTACACCACTGTGCCACACTGGGTACACCACTGTGCCACACTGGGTACACCACTGTGCCTCACTGGCCACACCACTGTGCCACACCACTGTGCCACACCAGGCAGACCAGTGTCACACTAGGCAGACCACTGTGCCACACTGGGTACACCACTGTGCCACATTGGGTACACCACTGTGCCACATTGGGTACACCACTGTGCCACATTGGGTACACCACTGTGCCACATTGGGTAGACCACTGTGCCACACTGGGCACACCACTATGCCACTCTGGCCACACCACTGTGCCACACTGGCCACACCACTGTGGCACACTGGCCACACCACTGTGGCACACTGGCCACACCACTGTGGCACACTGGCCACACCACTGTGGCACACTGGCCACACCACTGTGGCACACTGGCCACACTACTGTGCCACACCACTGTGCCACACTGGGCAGACCACTGTGCCACACTGGGCAGACCACTGTGCCACCCTAGGCAGACCAGTGTCACTCTGGGCACACCACTGTGCCATACCCGGCAGATCAAGAGCCACAACAACAAATCTAGCTTAAGTGCAACTTACTTATATTTGCCTTACAGATAGCATGTTAAGAAAGCAGGAGAGCAGAGGTGAGGACTGCGGTCTGCTGACACAACAGGAGGTAGAAGACAGCAGCAGCAGCAGCAGAAAGCAGCAGCAGCAGCAGTAGTCTAGTGTTTGTTATGTATTGAGTGGTGGAGCGGAGCGTTCGACACGCGCGCCGCGGCTTCTTGGCTTAACCAAGTACTGTACATTATTTACAGACTCAGTATCCACATTATCAATTATTAAGCTAGGCTGATATGTAATAATTTATACATATTTTTGTTTTTAATTCCAGGTTATTTATCTTTAGTGATAAGTTCCTCGTGAGAGCCACGTGCATTAAATAGGGGTTATCCCAAGACCCCCAAAAGACGTTGAGGGGGAAAACGTGAACTCTCACGTCAGATCCCAGCTGGAACTGCTGACAGCAGTTAACCGCTGCGCCATTTACATACAAATTCATGGGACGAGTCAGTTAAAATACAAGTTCAGGTTAAGCCATATGCCTACGTAGCAACAAAAACTAATCCCCCCCCCCCGAAACCAGAACCCGGGTTATTACAGTAACTAGATTATATTAGCATTGATCTTCGAAAGGTCGTATAATTGCCATCGATAGGGAGCGCGTCGGCCTAGAAATCTTGTTTAAAATATGAATATCTTTCCTCTCTAATAAGGTATAATCGCTGTGATGGATTAACAAAGACTATTTTATCTCTGCCTTTCTGATAATATATATAAATATAAGTTTTATATGTGAATCTCTATTAATTAAGCAATATATCAGAGAGTTTTTTTTTTTTTAGTTTAGTTCATTTATTATGCACCCCATACCCATCTTGTGGGCGGTAGTGGAAAGGGTTACAGAGGCACATAATGGGCTCAGGGACTGAACCCCACAATTCATTTAGCTAAGCAAGTTACAATCTTGATGAGCTAGTTACAAAATTCAATATAAGTCATCACATCAACAATATCAGAGAGCATGTAGGGTTCGGTGTTCTATGAACGAAGACATGAGTAGTTTAAGTAGCGAACGCATACCAACGAATAACGTTAGCATCGATATAACGTAACTATTGTCCTATGGAGTTGATTTAATTAAATATTCAATGTTTTGAAGCTATTTATGCAAGATTTTATTATAAACACGCATTCTATTTGTTAATTTCACAAGTTAAATTTGCGACAATTTGAGCAGAGAAGTGCGACAACTGGATCACTGTGTACAAGAGGCTGATATGCCAGCACTCTCGAGGCGACAATATATCTTGGATAAGTCGCTCCACAATATTGTCACTTGGACCCTCGACTTCCTATGGTGTCGCCTTTTATTTTATTTATTTTATTTATTTATTTATTTATTTATTATTTATTTATTTACTTATTTATATACAAGAAGATACATTAGGGGTTAAGAGAGTACATAGTAATGATGATTTTACATTCTTGTAAAGCCACTAACACGCAAAGCGTTTCGGGCAAGTCCTTAATCTAACAGATAATTTTAAGTAGATAATTTCCAGTAAAATTGACAACAAATATTTACATGTACATTGTAAGAAATTTTGACACAATAAACAAAGATTAGATTAATACGCAATAATAACAACACACTATAATGACAAGGATTACTAGGTACATTAGGGTACAATTTCAGGGTTATCAATTGGTTCATTGTAGCACAATTTGAGGATCATTTCAAGGAATAATGGAGTAGAATATGCACTCAATATAACAACCATAATATCAGATGATATCAAAGAATACAATGGTAAAGTTATATGGTTTAGGTACATATATTGGGGGATTGGGTAGCACTAGATAGAGTGCGAGTTAAAGCACTAGGTAGGGAACTAAGAAGATGAAATTATGTACTTTTCGGTTTTGTTTTTGAATAGGGCAAAAGTTGGACAGCTTTTCAATTTGTTAGGGAGTGAGTTCCATAGACTAGGTCCCTTTATTTGCATAGAATGTTTACACAGATTAAGTTTGACTGGGGATATCAAAGAGATATTTATGTCTGGTGTGGTGATTATATGTTCTTTTACAACTGTCCAGGAAGAGTTTCAGAAGAGGATTTGCACCTAAGAAAAGGGTTTTATAAATGTAATTGACACAAGAGAATGTGTGGAGTGAATTTATGTTTAGCACGTTTAGGGATTTAAACTGGGGAGCTGTATGTTGTCTGAAAGCAGAGTTTGTTATTGTTCTGATAGCAGATTTTTGTTGGGTGATGATGAGCTTGAGGTGGTTTGCAGAGGTTGAACCCCATGCACAGATACCATAAGTAAGATAGGGACAGATAAGTGCATAATAGAGTGAGAGGAGAGCAGAGTAAGGTACATAATATCTGATTTTAGAGAGTATACCAACTGGTTTAGATACTTTCTTAGTTATGTGTTGTATGTGGGTGCTGAAGTTGAGTCTCTTGTCTAAGTATAGACCAAGGAACTTTCCATCATTTTTCTTGCTGATGTTAACATTGTCGATCTGAAGGTGAATTGCATTTGTTGATTTGCTTCCAAATAAGATGTAGTAGGTATTTCCTATGTTTAATGTGAGTTTGTTGGTTGACATCCATAAGTGGACTTTTTAAAATTTATTGTTTACAACATTATTTAATATGAGTGGGTTTGGGTCAGAGTAGATGAGAGTAGTATCATCAGCAAACAATATAGGTTTAAGCACGTTAGAGACATTAAGCAGATAATTGATGTATATAAGCAACAGGAGGGGTCCTAGGATGCTGCCCTGTGGCACCCCTACGGTTACTGGTAGAGTGGGAGAGGTTATATCATTGATGGCTACTTATTGGTGTATGTCACTAAGATAGGATCGGATATAGTTCAGGGCAAGGCCACGGATTCCATAATGGTGGAGTTTAAATAAGAGGTAGTTATGGTTAACAGTATTATGCACCCCATAACCATCCAGTGGGCGGTGGTGGAAAGAATTAGAGATACATAATCGTTTAAGGAACTAAACCCCGTAGTTCGTTAAGCTAAACAAGCAGCAAGGTAGATTACTCATTCTCCCGGTTCAATATTGTCGCTGTGTGGTGAAAAGCTGCTCACTGAGTCCCTAGATTTCTTGACATTTTCTGAGAGAGCAGTTCACCCACGCAACCCGTCCTCGACTCAAGTCCATTACATCCAGCGGAAGTCATCACGCATCATGCCTCGTTTGCTATATGAAGACCGCTCTAAAACTAGTTCCCTGGCCCACGCTTACAACCCGATTGCCAGACATGAGGCTTTACAATACTGTATATATATATTATAGAACCGCTGCTGCTCGCACATTGCCAGGTGAATACTACGGGCTCGCCATAGCCCGTGCTGCTCGCAACTCTTGTTCCCAGTAGCTGAGTCTATAACAACAACAAAAACAACACTTCTGCTCCCTCTTTCTCTCTCTCCCTCCTCGTCCCCCCCCCCCTGACCCTTCTCAGTAACGACTTCGGCAGCTCCAAGGATGAGGCTGCCACCCAATAAACCTAAAAGCCTTTTAAGTAGCAGTCGGGTAGGAGAGGGGCAGTAAGCAGAGGTAGGGAGGGGCAGGGGTGGGAAGGATAGGAAGGGGTGCCAGCAGTGAGGGGCAGGGATGGGAAGGACAGGAAGGGGTGCCAGCAGAGAGGGGCAGGGATGGGACGGACAGGAAGGGGTGCCAGCAGGGAGGGGCAGGGGTGGGAAGGACAGGAAGGGGTGCCAGCAGTGAGGGGCAGGGATGGGAAGGACAGGAAGGGGTGCCAGCAGAGAGGGGCAGGAATGGGACGGACAGGAAGGGGTGCCAGCAGGGAGGGGCAGGGGTGGGAAGGACAGGAAGGGGTGCCAGCAGGGAGAGGCAGAGATGGAAAGGACAGGAAGGGGTGCCAGCAGAGAGGGGCAGGGATGGGAAGGACAGGAAGGGGTGCCAGCAGAGAAGGGCAGGGATGGGACGGACAGGAAGGGGTGCCAGCAGGAAGGGGCAGGGGTGGGAAGGACAGGAAGGGGTGCCAGCAGGGAGGGGCAGGGATGGGACGGACAGGAAGGGGTGCCAGCAGAGAGGGGCAGGGGTGGGAAGGACAGGAAGGGGTGCCAGCAGGGAGGGGTGGGGAAACAGGAGATACTTTTCTCACCCATAGGTTATAAACCCATGGAACAGCCTACCCGCCGAAGCCGTAAATACCAAGACAATACTTCAGTTCAAAATTCGGTTGGATAAAATCAAGACAAATGGGGTTGAGGGTGGGAGGAACATTTTACAAGTCACCGACTTCCTGTCCAAAGCTCAACCCCCGCAAGCACAAATAGGTGAGTACGGGCATGAATAGCCCGTAAGTGGTAGATTTTTTGGAGTGAATGTGATCTTTGGTCGTGAAGGGATACACTGGGTGCTGAGCTCGTATTTATATCATCAGTCCTTAGTATGTGGCAGCTACCGCGGGGGAGGATACTGCTTGAGAGTATTGATGAGGGTGTCCAACTGCTGGACACCTTTTTTGACCAGAAGAGTGGCAGTGTTGATGGCTTCAGGGTGGTAACTAAAAGATTCAGGAACTCTTAAAGCTCTTCTAAGGTCGTCGGTTGCTTCACATTCCAGGAGATAGTGAAGTAGTGACTTTTCTATGATTGTTTGGCAGAAGATGCATTCCCACTCTTTGGAATCACTAATTTCCCGGTTGCAAATGTAACCTAGTGGTTACATTTGTAACCTCTAGGTTACAACGTAACCTAGAGGTAGGGGTGTTACTGAGTGAACAATTCTGTAGGTACTGCCCAAGTGTTACTCACCTTGCTGGGCATGGTGAGGTGTTATGGTATGGGTGAAGGAGTGTGTGGCTGGACTCTGGAGTGAAGGGAGTGGTGTGGGAGCGTTCTCCCCACCAGTGTTCCCAGGCCAGGCCAGGCCAGGCGTGCCCTGCCACGTGGCACGCGCCAGGAGCGTGGCGCCACGGGGAACACGCGCCACCAGGGGGGAGGGGTGGGGTCACACCACCAGGGGGGGTGGGGTGGGGTCACACCACCAGGGGGAAGGGGTGGGGTCACACCACCAGGGGGGAGGGGTGGGGTCACACCACCAGGGGGAAGGGGTGGGGTCACACCACCAGGGAGGGAAGGTAGGGGTCACACCACCAGGGGGGGAAGGTAGGGGTCACACCACCAGGGGGGGGAGGGGTGGGGGGGACAAGCATAGTCTCCATCATGGAGTCTCGG